AAAATGTGAGTACTCACATCTAAGCCCGTGCTAGTGGTTTGAGTTAGCGAAAAAATCGGTCCCCCAAATCTTGAGCTTGGCATCGCGGGATGAAGGGGAAAAAAAGGAAAATCAACGGGACGAACCCCAGTCCGTGCATGGTAGATCAAAAACGCCACAAGCAGGGGACCACCCCTGTCAATGGCAGGGATAGTCTCCCACACCAGCTGCTTTTCTTTAAGTTTTAAGAGGACGTCTGGTCCCAGAGGTTCGGTCCAGAGATCGACTTTATTGTCCTTATCGTATTGAGATCTGGGATCGAAAGTCCGAATACCCACATTTTACTCGACGATGGCACAGCCTAGCCCTCATGTCACCGTCAGGAAACCACGCACCATGCCCTATTTTGGAACCGAAAGATGGAAATTGAGAACGGTGACATCCATTGGGAGAAGAGCCACGAACCCGGTAAACGAAACCATTTCTGACCCTCTGGAGCCCTCAATTGGCCATTTCGTCGCCGACAACCAACATCCAATATGAAGGGGACTCGGAGACTGCTTGACAACGACACTCTCCGGGAACTCTCTTCTGCTCGGACGTATAACCTCAAATTTTTATTTCTATTTTATTCTATTGATTTTTTTTATTATTTCTTCTTTTAGTTTTCTACCCCCCCCCCCCCCCCGACCGGCAGAAGGATCAATGAGTGTGGCATTCATCCCACCCAACTCCCAGGGGTACAAATCCATCCTTGAATTGAAGCCCCACTTCGTCGTTCACCAAAGATGAAAAATTGATATGAGGCAACATCAATCTAATTGATGTTATCCTGATGTGGATTTCTGCGGATAACAGCGGTATTACTTCCTCCTTTTCCAACACGAAAAGGGCCCCGAACCGGGCTAGGAGAATTGTTCAAAGTGGTGTAGGATCCATGTTGTAGGGTGCTCCGCACTTATCACGACCGTGGTACCGGCGCCCTCGATGAGTGGTGAGTGGTCAGCATGAGACATGCTCTGGTAAATCCGATCCTACAGAGGCATATATCAACATCGCAAATATAGGGACTGCTCTCGCCTCAGAGCATTGGGTATATTACAGGCGTTTAAAGAACGCCTTTTATACCGCTCTCTACGAAGTAAACCCGGAACTCGATTATAGTATGCAAGGGGTCACTTCTCTGGCAAATTTGGGCTGCAACAGCTCCGGAGGCTCCTAATAGTGAGGAGAAGGGCAGTGAAAGTATGAAGCGACAAGAGCGTGAAGGACTAAACACACAGGATCAGACAGTTTGGGCAGTTGCGTTGCGGATCATGCCCTTACCAGCAGGTCTCCCCCCTTTCCTCTTCATGTACGCCTGACAGGTCTGTCAAAGGAAGTGGGCGTCTTACTTCGTATAAGTGATAGATCCTTCTGCGTATCAAGCATACCCTTGCTTGCTACTTCAATTGGCGTTACTCGGCGGGTACCAAGTAAGAAAACGAATGTGAAAAGCGTGGGTGAGAGCGCCTCTTCAACGGTTAGGCTTCGATGGAATACTTCGTACATCCACCGCTGCTAATAGAGTGTGGCTTTCCGGCGCCAAGAGCGATCCCCCCCTTGGGACCGTACCGGAACCCATCAGGGCAAGACAGCATTATCGAATCGCCGAAACCACACCCATTCTATATTTCGTAGTTCAAGTTCAGCTTTGTATCAGGTAGTGGGAGGTGATTTCATTTGATGGCCGTCTACCTCAAAGTGCCGTAATGGTGTGGTGTTGGCGGATGTTACGTCCCCAGCAGCAACAACGAAGCGGGGTGGAGCTCTCCGTTTCCATGATCTACTTGTACTTCGAAGGAAACAAGAAGGGGTATGCCGAGTCTAACGTTCATGGATGATTTTCTCTGAGTTATTCCCTTGTTCACCGTTTTCCCTCCTCATCCATTCTCATCTGGCTGCAGTTTGGAACGGGAATCCATGACAAGCAGCAATCTCTGATGTTAGAAAAACCAGCCAGTAAGAAATCGAAGCTGAATCAAAAGAGCGAATTAGACTGCAGGTATGAGCAGGGGTAGCTTAGTTGGTGTCAAGCACAGTGTTTACTGCGCACATCCGCCCCTCGAAAGTTGTCTTCAGATCAAATGTGCCGCCTCGTTTTTCTCTGCGAGACGAGATTTGGAGAAGGGAGGGAGCAGAAAGGCCTACTCAATCAATATGATGACGATGCTGTTGGTCGAATCAGCCTGGCATGGGCGGTAGTGAAAACGGCGGCATTCGAGCACTCAGGCATTCCAGCTTCCGCCTCAAGTACTGCCGCTAAAGTACTTGACCCTAGTAATATTACGAAATAATGCCAAAACATCAGTAAGGAGCGATGGAATAAACTCCCAACAAATGAACAGCCAGCTTTCGAACAGGCAGTCACTACCGTAGTACGCACACAAGCAGGACAGCGGCATTGATCGACCTCGCAGATGTACAAAGTACTCAAGGCTAGGCCTGACCAGGTCACCAGGAAGGCACGCTGCCATTTAGTGTATAATACTTCGTAGTTATCCCGGTACAGCAACACGACCTCGCCTCACTCAACCCTAGTTTCATCACATCCATTCTGCGCAATACCACCATTCTCTTCAAGCCTGTGGTCCTCATCAAATGTCCCGCCGAAATCACAGTGTTGATGCATTCTCCGGTCTCTTTATTTGCCCCAATTTGTCTCTCGTTGGTGTCTTTACCGTACTCTTCCTCTCAGGCTAGATATCGTTTGCAGTATACACTTTATTACTACTATTCAATGCTGTCAAGTGCTTCCATTTCCTCCGCTCTTGGGCCAGTTTCTGATCTGGGGCTTACGGTTCTTTTTCCCGCCAGACACATTCCGAATATTCCTATGAGTCCAAGCTCGGAGACTCCCTGGTGCTGCTTTTTACAACTGAAGAAACACTGTCCACAACACCCACGTTATACCCCAGATAAAGAAGAAATATAGCCAAGTCAGATTTATCGATGGCACCATCATTGTTATGACAGTGTTTCTCTTACGTCTTGGATGTTGTTCGAGGAGCCGGGAGCCATTCTTACGTGTTTGAGTGCGGAGCCGACCATACATATCACTCACGCCAAGGAGAAGCCACATTTGGACTCAGCAACTCCATCGCTCTGTACCATCCCAAGGCTACGAGTAGACGACGGCGATACTCCTTGCCCTTATGCACCCAATGATGGCTTCGCATCTAGCTTGTTATCTCCACTCACAGCGGTCCCCCGCTACATCTTGGGAGTCTGAGTCTGTCTTGGTCATCTCGGGCACCCCTCGCTTGCCCGGTGTCTCGCTTTTCTGCCTTGGCCCAGCCCAGACTAAAGTTGGCGGGCGAGTGTCAGCCATTTCCCCAGCGTGTGTTCAATTACACCCAAGCGGTGGTGCGGTATCTACTTCGTGGTGTACGGAGAAGGGCAAAAGGTCTAGCTCGGTGGTCCTCTCGACACCAATGCAGGCCCGTCTCCCCGGCCCGGCTCTGTTGCTGCATGTTTAAGTCTCTACTGCATCCGAGTATTGAAGTGAGTCGCCATGAAAAAGCTGGGATGACCAATGATCCAAGACTTACAGAGGAGCAACTTGTGTGGTATCAATTGTCTACCTGTACTGAGGTACTTTGTCAAGTACTTTCACACACCCAATCAACACCACCCACCCCCACCCTGTCTTACACGCCCTCCCCCCTGCCAGCGCCTCCACTACCTCAAGTAACTCGATACCTGCGCTCCAACTACTAAGTCCAAAAGGAGGGCGAGGAGGGAGATGAATACTCAATCCGTCTAATATCTTGTTCCCAAGCCCTCTTTCTCTCTCCCGCACCCACATACACGCAGACACACGCAGTCTCTCCGTTTATTTTCCCAGGATGAATAGTGCACGTCGAATTTGTACTACAATTGTAGCGTAATAATGCCACCGCTCTACTGCCAGGCCATCAATGCTTTGTACACTCCTCAAACTCATCTTCCGTACCTCAGCGGTGGTACCGCCGGAGGTCTTGTCTCGTCCCTTGGCTGCAGCACTTGGTACTCAACTAACTATACCAGACGCAGTGCCTCCTGCGTAGCATTCCCTCACGCACACCCCAGTAATCGCGTATGCGTACCCCTACAGCCCTAGAGTCTCCAAGTTACGAAGTAGGCAGAGCTGCGCGATCCCTCTCGCTAACTACAAAGTAAGAAGCGGAAGTACATCAATGCATTCTCGCTTTCTTTTTTGCAGAGGTGGGGGTTCGATTAACGACGGTGAAGACGTACCTGAACCCGGCCCCAACGGAGGCCACCTCCACACATTAGGCAAACCGTTTTGTGGATGAAAGATCAACTGTTTTGAGTCGCTTGCCGTCTTGGGCTAGTATTGACCTTGTCTCTACCTGCACCCTTTCTAGTTTAGCACCCCTAGCCCCTGCCTCCTCTGACCTTGCGCAGTACACGACTCAGAGGGGGTGGCCGTAATGAGAATCCAGTACCTTTGGCCTTCTCGTCGATAAACTTAGCTCTCGGGAAGCAGCTGTAGTATGGATCTTCCACCCTGGTCTTTGGTGGTGTGTGCTGGAATCGACATCTATGGGGTACCACTCTGCACCTTTGGTAAAGATCTGCTGGCCACTCATATAATGAACCTCAAACCCCACGTCTTCGATAAACCGATGCTTTGACCTACCTCGACAACACGCTCGTGATAAGTCCAACAGCAGAAGGGGATCGCACCAACCTTTCCTTCACTACCTTTTTCTATATATACTATAAGAGTCTCCTCGTCCTCGTCCAGCTATATAACTTGTTTATTCCCCTTCATCTTATCCCAGAAGAAGGTGCTTTGCTTTCTGCTTCCACAACCCATCCGCCCATCAGTGGACAAATATATATACATATATCGATATATCTCTCAGCTACATATCGCCCAAACATCTGTCAGTCCCTTTCATCACTGGGATTCCTTCCTTGGTCGGCCATCTTCCAGCCCCAGGGATCACTTTGTCTCTGCTCCAGCAGGCAAAATGGCGTTGACGGCTCAGCCTCCTGGTCCCCCGACCTGGGACCGCTGGCATCAACCACATGGCAATCCAGACTATGTTATGATGGACGCGAGCATGATGCACTACGACTCTCGCTCCATCACTTCTAACTCTGCTCCTCACCGCGCACCGATGACACACTCGTTCATGGGCAACTCCTACAACGTTGCTCCGATTCCAAGCGCTGCGCCGCCCCACTACCCACCTCCGAATCCCTTCGCGTTTAACGGGTACAACCCGCCGACAGCAACCGTCCGGGACTCTTACAAGCAGCCTCCTCGCCCACAGTACCAGGAGCGACCGCCAATGCTTGTTATGCCACCTATGCCGGACCGGAACCGGATCCTAGCCCCGCCAAGGGAGATGCGCTCGCCTTACGAAGAACACAGTCAGAGTCCCTCGGTAAAAAGCGACGGTCAACCCAAGACATTGACGGTTCCGGACGGCGAGCTTCCCAAGGTCCCCCGCACCATCACGTCCAACGTCACGGTGAACCCGGAAGACGAGGTGTCTTTCTCAACTGACGTCGATACTTTGATGCGTGCTATCCAGGCTAAGCGAGAAACGGACACCATCGTCAAGGTTGCCGAAGACAAGATTAGAGCAGAAACCACAGACCACCTATCGCCGGAGGTAGGCTACTCGACCCTTTCGACACAGTTTCAACAGGAACACGACTTAACGCCAGATGACGAACAGGCTGGGTCCCCGGACAGCACTGGATCCGGTGGATCGAAATCCAAGTCGAGGGCCAACTGCAAGCGGTATACCTGCGACTTCCCGGACTGCAACAAGAGCTTCTGCCAGAAGACTCACCTGGACATTCACCGGAGAGCCCACACCGGAGACAAGCCCTATGTTAGTAGCGAGCGAGTATTCCTACTGCCTCTATGCTTTTCTACGTACTAATGGAAATCTCTCTTCAGACTTGCAAATTCTCAGGATGTGGTCAGAGGTTTTCTCAGCTCGGCAACTTGAAGGTAAAGATGATGTGAATCCCTTACGGGAGAGGGAAAGAGCCCCGCTAACCTAAATGGCTAAATTTAGACGCATGAGAGGCGACATACCGGAGAGCGACCCTATGAGTGTGCAGTCTGCGGGAAGAGATTTGCCCAGCGAGGCAACGTTCGAGCACACCAAGTAGTCCACCGCCAAACCAAACCATATGTGTGCAAGTTGGACAACTGCAACAAGGATTTTACCCAACGTGGAAATTTGAAGGTATATTTGTTAGAGTTTCCCATGGGATGATGGTTCTTTTGACGCTAAATCGTTTCCTTGCTTTTCACAGTCCCACCAGAACCGATTCCACGCCGAAGCCTTGAAGGCATTAACGCAGAAGTTTGCAACACTTGCCAATGCCACCAACGTCTCAGAGGCTGACCGAGAGCTCTGGGAATATTTTGCTACAACGTACAAGAATAGCAACAAAGGCATCAAGGGACGAGGCAAGGAGCGACGAACTGGAGTGTCCCAATCGCCCAAGAGCGCAGTGATGCCGCAATTCCCTGTCTGCTCTCCAACGGCACCGACCATGCACCACCGAGGATCATACTCTGCCGCTTCGCAGCACGTCACGCAGCAACCGATGCTGAGCCCGCCTCACGGTCTGGGCAACGCAACCATGGACCGGACCGATGGTCCTGGGATGCTCGGTACTCATCTTGGGAACGACATGGGTAGTCACACGACTGTGGGCCCGCCTAATCCCTCAGCCAGCATCTACGATGAGGCACCTCATCACGCCCAGTCGTTCCATGATCGGGGCTACTAGGCTTGGTTGGGAGTGACATGACAAAGCAAGACGGAGTACAAGCGAAAGGCGTATGATACCTCGATTCATTTATGGGACAAATATATACACGGACAGCGGCGTTTAAAAAGAGAACAGGAGGAACTTGTAGACTACGACGGCGCGAAATAACTGGCAAAGGCGAAAAAGGCGGGCGCTATGTACGAATGATGGAAGGAGGACTAATGCAAAGAGGGAACTGGAGAAGTAGGAATGGGATCTTGGAGTTGGGAAGAAACACGCGGGACAGCCGACTCACGGTGGACTGAATTTATCTAGGGAGGGAATTTTTTTCTCGTTTTTTTTTTTTCTTCGTGTTAGCATTTACAAACGGGTGAAGTGGGAGATCTGAATGGGACGGCTTTTGGACTCTCACGGTGGCTTTTTGTTTTCTCCTTTGCTTTTCTCTCTTCCCCTCTAGCTGTTGTTCTTTCAAGTTACGCACTTACCTTGTGTTGAATCTAGCTAGTCGGGTAGTATATTTCATGGCTTTACATGAGCTTCGCCGAGTTGAGATTCTTGTCTTGTTTGCGGATGTTGTGAACCCCAATCGAAGTAAAAAGCACACCGCTAGGTTGAACCACCCGCCAAAATAACATCCACTTACTAGATGTATTGTTATCGATGCTAGAAGTGCAGAGGAACTCCTCTTTGCCCAAGGTTGCCGTTATTTGCTCCAGACTCTTCCAACAGAGACTCTGCATTCTGCCATCTACGACGTGTCTTTAGTTTAGTGGCTTGCATCCCTCATGCTGCACATAGCTTTTTAAACTCGGGGGCTTCCGAACAGGGCTTCCGAGATTAACACGCAGCAAGGCATCTAGGCTCTGTTTTTGTCACTGATGACTAGCCATCTATCCACTCGCCTTGTACAGAGCCATTGATGGCAGACCATCGAAGTTCAATAGAAGGTTAGATGCTCTCGGGCCGCTACCGCTCTTTTGTTGTCGAGATAGGCTTACATCGATCCTTTACAAAGTCAACACACACCCCGAGGACAAAAGGACTTACACCCTCACATTCGCGTCCCCCCCTTCACCCACCCACTTTCGTAAGCTGGCGTTTTACATCTCAACAAAAAGGGATCGATTGAACCCCCTCCATGACGAAAAGGGAAGAGGGGTCAGCTGGGAGAGACGAGATGATACCGTGGCGTGGATGGAGAGAGGGAACGGACTGAGAGAGTTGTGATTGCTTGTGGGTTGAGGGGCGAGTGGACTTGGTTGCGTTTCGGTTGACATGATGGGAGCGTTTATTTACTTATTTATTCATTTCTTTTAATCCGTAGCGGCTATCTTATATATATATATATTACAACTCAGCGAGTTTCTGTTCTTTGTTTCCTTTTCTGTGTCGATTTCTGTTTCTTTCTTCTTCCAGGTCTGTTTATCGATGTTGAGTTTTGGGTATGGAGGTAAGAACCATGGACCCGGTTCAAGGATACAAACAAAAACCCGAAAGAGAGAGAAAGAGACCCATGGTGATGACGGGCTGCATCCAGAAAAGGGCAGGGAAAATAAAATGATGAGTCGCCGTGACCGGGCATCCGTGCATCTCGCCGTCTCTGGAGACCCTGTGATGACGACTTCTCCGTCTGCATCTCCTGAATACATTCCTCTTTCTTGCCTAACTCGGTGCTCGTTTAAGAATCGGGCATGTTGGTGGGGAAGAAGGATTGCAGAAGTTGCTGTATTCTTCTTCTTCTTCTTCTTCTACTTCTCCCATTCTTCACCGCTCATCTTCAAGGGAAACCCAACTAAGTGAATGGTTCTGTACCTACTTTCGTAGTTTCTGGTCTCGAATAGGGTCTCACACCTCCCTGGCAGACGGGCGAAATGGGAGAATAAATGTGCCATAAATTCTTTCCTGCGTTTTCCATTTGCATGCGCTGTAACGCTGCGAGGCACCGGAGTCTGTAAAGATGTGCCTGGATCGGGCGGGACCCTTGTCAGGATACTTGCCTCGAGAGACCCTGCCAGGCTCTGATACTGGGAAGTGGAAATAATACACTACGAAGTACGGTATGCGCGCCTGCCTCTCTTCCTGTGTTGGTCATTGTCTTCATTCGATCACAAGGCTCTCCTCACCGCCAAAACATGGTACTGTTCGTTGCGTAAGTGATTCCTGACGTGATGAAATGCAATTGGAGGGGTTGTGGTGCTTGAGCAAGCAACAAGGGGAAATAGAAAATGGGACATTGAGGCATTGGGGCGTCTGCCGAGTAACCCATTTCGTGCAAGCTTCTCCATCTCCATCACACTGACGGCGGTCAAATTCGACCGTCAAGCTCGCCTCCACTCTCAGTAATGATATGGCGGTGTCCGTGAGCTCGACTGATTGGGTTAACGATGCACGGCACTGCACACACCTCATACTGACAATACGCCACGGCCAAGATGAGCGTATGCGGGAGGGTGGGAATTGGGCAAAGAGACAGAACGGAGACGCACATCCTACGCGCAATGAATGCACTGCGAGAACAGAGTAGAAAAGAGGGGTGACCGTCGGCATGCATTGGTCGATCTCGAAAATGCCTGCATGTGCGACATCTCCCGCTGGCCTCTGATGTACGAAGCTACTACTGTAGCAGCAAATGCAGTGAAGTGGGAAATTCTGCAGCTGAGCTTAATGGGCGGCCACAACAACGAGGAGGCGCTGCCCGAGCTCGCTGCCCCCCCGTTTTGTCTTTCGATGAATTGGCCAACTAAAAGTTTACAAGCTGGCTCTCTCCTCGCCACCCATTTTTTGGGTTCCCTGCCTTACGTTGATGAATAAGAGATTGTAAAACAGCAAGGGTAAGCTCTCCAACCCTATGTTTTCACCATGCGACGCGTGAACGAGTGATGGGCAAAATAACAAAGGGGGCGTGTACAGATAGATCGAATCGACACCAAAGCAGGCCGAGATCCTGGCGTAATTTTCCTATGCACGACGTGGAACCCAATCTCTGGAGGTGCGAGATGAAAGTGAAAAAGACCGAATGCTGGCCTTGTACATTTCGTCTAAAGAATGATGCAGGCGTCTGTAACAGGTAACCGAACGACGACTTCCCACCGGGCACACCGAAAAAGCTTAGGCTAGATAATAGAGACAAGATCTATGTGGATGCAACTTATACGCCCCCATGCGAACGGGATGAAAAAAAGACGGCAACGAAAGAGGAAAAGAGGCCAAAGGAAAAAGGAAATCACAGCATTGAATATCTCGAGACCCGCATCAAATCTACCCGGGGGAGAGTCCGGAAGTGGGAGCCGGTTGTGGAACGGACCAGCTCCAGCTTCAGACATGCGTTATGAGATGAGAGCTCGCCTCCTTCATCATCACCAAAGACGGTTCGTATGGAAAAGGGGCGATTCATAGGACCGACCATCGTCATCGAGGCCACCCCTGGGGTAAGAATTGTGCCTTTGCCGCATCGTGGTCTAGGCTCTGAACTCATCTATGATTCGGAGCAAACAACAGAAGCGCCCTAGCGCGAGAACAACAGCCCACTATTTTTTGGGGCGCAAGCCATTGCCATTTCCTATTCCCCAATACCCAGAAAAGCTGTCAAGTCAGCTCATCGTTGCCTTGAGTCGGGGGACAACTAGCTCGTGGGGCGCCGCCCACTAAGTCGTTCATCTCGGCCATTTATCTCGTCATGGGTCCAAATTCACTCCCGCGAAGAGAGAGGGGGGCAGCTGCCAGGAGGTATTGGTTCAGACGCGACATCCATTGGGTGCCATCACCGTCATGGTGGTCCGCTTTAGGCGTGCATGAGTAAGTTGCTGGCCTTGCCCGGCCCCCCGAGTTACCGCCATCGCCACCTGATCTTTTGCTACCAGCCTGCTGAAAGTCGAGGCGAACAAGGTCTCCACTCTCGGTTGACCTCCTTAGCCTCCGTGAAGGGTCGAGACGAATAAGATGTTGTCGCCATTCTGGAGCTCGTACTCCTCCTCACCCTCAAGCTCCCAATCGGCATCGTTTATGAGCACTAGGATGCCCGGCCGGCTACGACCCGCAGAAGAGGAGAGACAGTTAGCATCCACTTTTTCGGGGAGGAGGGGATAAAACACCGTGTCCAGCTGACATCGAATGGACAAATGCGCAGCTCCTGACTGGCCGGTCACCTCTGACTGAGCTATTTCGCGAGCCGGTCCCCGGATGCTGATCACTTATACTTCTAAGATTAGAAACTAACTTACATATGACCGTCCAGAATGAAAAGTTCCTTGCGGGTATCCTTCATCGTATTCTCACAGAGGTAATCAATGAGAGAAGCGATAGTCGTAGGCTTCCCCTCGCTTGTGATAGAAGGTATACGGATAGAATGCTCCCGTTGATCGGAGAAGAGCATCTCCAGACCTCCGCTTTCATAGGTTGCCACATTAGTTTCATATCCCCACTTAAACGGTGAAAGTGCTGGCGCAAAAGAGGGTCAGATGCCAGCATCATGGACTTTCTCAAGTTGACCTACGTAAATTCCACCTTCAACGAGAGCCCTTGGGCATCACTGGCCTTGGTCTCTGTTGCTGTCGTTGTGGACATGTTTCCAACCCCGTTTTCTTAACGTGCGGCGCGCGCTTATTCTAAGTAAAGGGTTAAGGCTGAGGAAGAGCTGGGGTGTTTCAGGAGGATGAGACGACGAGCCGGGCGCAGATCTGAGGGCTTGAGTCCGATCGATCACGTTGCAGAGAGAGTGGGTGAGCCCGAGGACCAGGTTAATGAAGATGGAGGGGAGGTACCAAGGTACAAGGGTATTCCGTGAAGAGCGTCCAGAATGTTAGTAATCAACACAGTATTAATACACAGTATTAAATATCCTGGTAAACAGTATATTCATGCCACAACGCCACACAAGGCGGGCGTCAGGAACCCATCGCCACAAGTGCAAAAACGATTCCAACTCGTCAGCCTTGCCCACGGAAAATACATTGCCATCGCGATCTCGAACCTCGCAGCTCGGTCGCAAACAACTCCCAAGGTTGAGACATCCAAGGGTAAAAGAAATTTCGAGAAATAATAAATAATCGGGGAATATTTCCCGTCACTCACACGCGCAAACATGGCTCAAAATCGGCATTGGTATGTATCGCACCCTTTCTACACTGCCCATCAAGAACACCAAGAACATCGCTAACGAAGCTTTCCCCACAGGGAACAAGACAAAGATGCCACCGTCTACATAGGCAACATAGACGAGCGCGCCGACCCAGCCATGGTCTACGAGATCATGCTCCAGATGGGCCCCATCCACAACATCCACATGCCGCGCGACCGCGTAACCCAGAACCACCAGGGCTTCGGCTTCGTCGAGTTCCGTACGCCCCTCGACGCCGAATACGCTGCCAACGTCATGAACGGCGTCAAGCTCTACGGGAAATCCCTGCGCGTCAATAAGGCGTCCGCCGACAAGCAGAAGCAAGCCGAGGTGGGAGCCGAGCTGTACATCGGGAACCTAGACCCCGGGGTCGACGAGAAGCTTTTGTACGATACGTTTTCGAGGTTCGGGCCGTTGTTGTCGATACCGAAGGTGGCGAGGGATGATTCCGCCCAGTCTAAGGGTTTCGGGTTTGTTTCGTACGCCGACTTCGAGAGCTCGGATGCAGCGATTGCCAATTTGAATGGGCAGTATATTCTCAGCAAGGAGGTTTCGGTGCAGTACGCTTTCAAGAAGGACGGTCGCGGAGAGAGGCACGGTGATGACGCGGAGAGAGAACTTGCGAAACAGGCCAAGAAGCGTAATCTCGTCCCCGAAGCCGCTGCTATCCCCGCCGCTTTCCTCAACGCCCCGCCTGCGGCTCCTGCACCCGCTGCTGTCCCTCAGATCCCCTCCCGCCTCCCGGCCGCGGCTCCCGCTGCTGGCTTCGACGCTTCCTCCATGCCCAGCGCGCCGGGAATTCCAGCTGGCATGCCTCCCCCACGCATACCAGCTGGTTTCAACGTCCCCTCGCGGGGTGGCCCGCCTCCTCCTGGTTTCCCGGCCCCCATACCAGGCCACCCACAAGCAATTCCTCCGCACGGCTTGCAAGCAGGCCGTGGTGCCACTGTTCTCCCTCCCGCGCCGTCGGGTCTCCCTGCGCGTCCTCCGCAGGGCCAGAGAGGTTACACGAACCCCGCGGACTTCCACCCCGGTTCGTATCGTACTCCTCCCCCGGGAGGGGCTGCTGCTCCGCCACCACCACCTGGGTTCACCCCGCCTCCCGGGTTCGGTCCGCCTGGCACCGCTCCTGGTGCTCCTCCCGGTGCGCCGCCTGGGTTCATGCCACCGCCTCCTGGGTTTCAACCACCTCCGGGCTTTTCACGGAGGTAAAATGTGATCGTACAGTGTTGGGTAGAATCTAGTGAAGGGAGGACGATTTCGGTATTTCCCTCAATATATGGAATGGAGAGCCTGTTGGCTGTTCAAGATATTCTTGAAAGAGTGCCGTTCAGGATCATCTGTCCAAAGAAGAGCCTCGGTTCACAAAAGAAGGATATCTCCTCTTGTGACAAACACGAGAGTTAATTCGGATTGGGTTGTAAGGAAAGGCTAGACACAGTCGTGTTTAAAAGTATTTGCGGAAAGTATGGCGTTATTGGGGAGCAATGATGGGAATTTTCATGTATCAAGATAGTCATCAACGTTCTTCATCGTTCTTCATCGCGATTCATAGCAAGATAGCAAGCGAGGCCAGAGGAGTGATGGGTCGGCAACAGTTGAATCAAAAGCAAACCTCGGAAAAGAGATGATAAGCCAGTTTCAAGTCCCATTTGTTTGTATTTGAAGAACTTATGTCCTAGAGTGAATTCCACTAGATATAAAAAAGAAGCAAATCCTCCTGCCGATAGAGTTCCAACTCGTCTCCATGTCCCAGGTGATACAGTAATACACTATTCTACATCGACTATACCTCCCTTCATCACCTATTATTTTTTTTCTTTTGACCAGAAAGCACACCAAAGCTCTTCCGGTGCCTTTAGCCCCATGCCCACGCAAAACGCAGGGACGCTCAACACCACCATAACTATCTTAGGCATCAACCGCCTCAACGGGAGCCGCCTTCGCAGCCTCCTGCAAGAAGCTCTCCTCAATCGCCGACTTCCTCCTAAACACCCTCAGCCACCTCTCCGCCCAATCCCGCACATAAGTCTGCGAATCACCATCCGTCGCCTCGCCATTCGTGCCAGTTGACCAACCGATCAGAGCGTCCTCAAGGGCCCGGAAAAGCTCCCGCATGGCCTTAACCTCGTCCGATTGGGTTTCGGCATCAGGATTGCCGCGGGCCACGTCGCGGACTCTACCCGTGACTTTGGCAACGGTGTTGAAGACGAGCTCGAAGATGTGCCACTTGGCGAGAACGTCGCCGGTGCGCTTGCCTCCGGCATGACTGGTGCCGATGAGGGCCCAGTGGATGACGGACAGGGGTGTCAGGATCGAGTAGTTGAGAAGTTTCTCGATGATGGAGACCGCTACGCCTGGGTGGGCCTGCCAATAGTTCATGACGGAGGTGATGATCTGGGCACGAGCGCCCTCTGAAGCAGCACCGACGTCAACTAGCCGGCCCTTGGTACGGTCTATGCACGCAAGGACGTGAGACAGAGACTTCGAACCGACCCAGCAAACGGCCGTCATGAACACATCGGTGCTTGCGACGAGGGGGTCAACTCCGTTATCAAGCGCCGTCGAGTGGATTCGCTCAATGATCGGTTGGAAATCCTCATCTGGGGATTTACGCTTGAGAAGGGTGGCAATCTCTTGACCCTCTGCAGAGAAGGGAGTGTCTAGTAGGTCCAGTTAGCACGAACTGAACGAGGAACTGATGTGCTCGCCGAGATCGTGGTGGCGAATTGGAACTTACCAGGGTTGTTAAACTTGAAATCAGGAACATCCTTCTCCTTCTCAGGACCAATCAGGGACTGATACGCCGGGGGCAAGGTGCCCTTGATCCTCTGAGCAAAGCTGAGGCGGATCTCCTTGTCAAGAGCGCCGACGATGAAGGCCTTGCAGGGATCCAAGGAGGGCAATGACACGTCCTCCTCCCACTCCGTCCACTTCCATGTGAAACCGAAGTTGCTCAGGTGATGTGCGAACCAATCAACGAAACGGTAACCAAGTTCAGCATCCATACTCGCGGTATTCCTGTAGAGATATCGGATCGCCCTTCCAAGACTAGGCGCAATGGCGGCTGGGGCAATTTTACATGCCTCGGTCAGCACCGAATGGTAGTAGACTAGCTTATGCTCAGGGGCGGGAAGCTGGAGGAGCTGGGAGAACACTGTATCCACAGCCACGTCTTCCGGCTTCCAGGTCGACTTTGTCGGTTCAATATCCCGCAGACGATCAAAGGGTGTAGCTCTCTTGACGAACGTGCCCTCCGAGAAGTAGCAGTCTAAATCAATCAGGTACCGAGCAGTGACGTTGCGGTTGAAATCTAGGATATTGATCGTATCCAGAAGGCCGTCCCGGATCAGGGAAGCTGCAATATCTGTTGTAGGAGGCACCGACTCGACCTCTTGGTTGCCGTAGACAGAGAGGTATACCTCTGGAAAGAGGGGGCGAGGGCCAGCAATGACCGTTGAGGGAACCGAGATGGGTGGGAGATCATGCTTCGTCGCGTTCTCTAGTCGTTCCCTGGCCTCAACTTCTTCGAGAGGTAGATTCCACGGGCGGGGAAGGCATGCAAGTTTCCAATTGTTCGCTGCCTCAGCTTGTAGTTGCTTCTGGAGCAGGCCAATAACACTCATTGAGCCCACCACATCTTCTTGGCCGTTTCCAGCGTAGTGGAAATCAATAAGAGCCTGCAGCGCATGGGGCTCAGACGCGATAATATCGGTCTTATCCATGATATCCGCGGCCTTTTGCTGCCACTGACCAGGAGGCGACGCCGCCATGAGATAGGGTAGGGTCAGAAGAATGACCTTTACCAGTTCCGTTCCAATCGTCTGCAGGGAACAAACATTAATTCATGCAACTCGTATGAAAATCACGAGCCTCCGGGGCTATCAGGAATGGGAGGGCAGGGGAACCATACATCATCAGAGCTTGCAGTTTGGAGATCAACAGCTCGGCTAAAGAGCTCCTCCAGCACAGGGAACACACCATCCCCAGCAAGACAGCTCTGCAGACAAGCCAGTAGCTTCAGGTAGAGCTTGACATCCCTCCAATCGCCAACCTTGATCTTCTCTTCCAGCGCCGTCGCAACCTTGCCCAGGATATCATCGACGGCCTCGGGTTTCAAGGTGTTCAGAACGATAATAACGGCGGCAAGAAAGGGCGTCTTGAGCGGCTGTTCCACTGCGATTTGGAGGGTCAGGTTAATGAAGTTGTTGCGCAAGTCCTCGTTGTCGTAGTTATCCGCCACAGTCTGAGCTATCGACTGAACTTCTTCATGCCAGCGGCGCAGAGGGGACTCGGCGAGGGTGAGCATCTGCTTCCGGATCCGGACAGGGAGAGGCGCCGTGTCGAGCCGACGACGCGGGCCTCTGCGATCATGATAATCGTCGTCATCTAGAGATATATTTGGGTTAGTTGATGTTCCACGACGCGACGTTTGGAACTATGACAAAAGACCAGCTTAATCAAGTCCAGAAATATGCCATTGCCCATACCTCGATAGCGTCTCTTCCTATTGTAGCCGTAGCCTCCACCAGACTGTCGTCGGTCGTAGTCGGTCATTGTGGCGGCTTGAGATAAGTTTTGAGGTGTCAATCTTTAGAAATTGCCAATAACAGGATTGGAAACCCAATTTCTACATGCTGGGATAAAATACTGATGTGGTGGGGCAGGAATTCAGAGGACGGTTGTGAGAGCTCAAAGTTGCTCCCTGTTTTCAAGATCGCCCTGTTCGCGACTTCCAACGCAATTGATTCGAGCTCCAAACTCTCCTCTTGGTCACCTTTCACAGCTATGTGGCTTGATGTGGCTGGAGCTCCATTCTACACCTGAGGCGTAAAGGCAGAAAGAATGGCATGTCGATGACTAATCAAGGCTAGACTTGACCAACCTCAACCCTTCCGATATATTAACACTTCGTAGTTCGTTGTCACTCTTGCAGGAAGCCACTCTTGATAGACTTCGAATTGCAGAGTAGTAAACTAAACGTTGGCAAGGTAGGGATGAATTTTTTTCGATTCAAAAATCTTCCTGTGATGTACAGAAACGGGGGCTGTTCTACAGAGCGAGCCATCCATGCTCCAAACACCGAATTAGTCTCAGTCTGCGAATGCAATCCGGATCCATAATCGCTAGTCTCAATCACACAGGATCCTACAGCTTCGCAAAGGAATGCCAACGAGCGTTGTCTTAGCACGCATCACCTGGGCCATACCCGGCCCGGCTCGAGACGCATGTTCCATATTTCCACCCGTCTTGGAATTCGTACACTCGGGAAGGCGCTCGATTAGGAGCATTTGTGCATGTCTCCGCACAACTTGACACAGATTGGGTAGAAATCAAGGTAAGGGGCAAGCGGCATTCCGGTTCCACCGCAAAGCGGCCATTGTTTCCTCGAGCGTAAACAAGCGCAAACACGTCTCGCTGACAAGCAAACTTTGAACAAGTGAAGGCCAACCAAGGGATCATAAGAGACGTCTCTGTCATGCATCAAGGAAAGAAAAGATAGAGAGGGAAAAAAACATAAAAGCTGGGGAAAAATAGAAGAAGAAGAAAAAAGGTCTAAAAAGTGCGATTCCCTTTCATATGCATCAATGCAGCTTCGCGCATCTTGGCGAACGATCCCGACACTGTGAAGTCATGGAGTGCTCGGCAGGGGTGTCGACCACGAAGCCCGTCGATGCGGTTACAAGAATATACCCAAAGGCGTGCGGTCATGTAGGACAAGAACTGTCCATTCCGCCTTGTCCACGTCTCGGACGGTGTTGCTTGCCTTCGTCGTGGTTGACCTCTAGAACTTCCAACCTTCCCATATACTCATGTTAAGAAGCAAGATTGGGAACCTATGTCTCCCTCTCGTTCCGTTCCTTCAGTTCCATTACTTTGTTTTTCTTCTTCTTCTTAGTTCGCCCTACCTTATCCCTCCAATGACTATCTTTGAGTGTCGGATCAGAAGCCGCAATGATGTCGGGATCACGATATGTGATCATTCAGATCTTGAGCAAAAAACAACAACCCTAACCGAGGCGGCAGTGGGCTTAATCGAGCCTGGCCAGCATCTCTTCCTTCTTCATAGGCGTAAAGTCATCTATGTTGAGTCCACGAGCCGCAAGGGTGGCACGCATATGAGGGGGCACCAACTTGTGGTTGAGATGTGGTGCAATGGAGAGTTCTAATAGAAAAAAAAAGCCCTCAGAGGTTAGCGAGCTCGGTCTTTGGTAGTTTTTCAATGATACGAATGGAAAGACAGGTGAACACATACCATGACGGCTGAAATCGAAAAGGGGAGGCAGGTCTCGCAACTGGCCTGTTTGGTGCCTGGAGTCTGGTAGTTTGGTGTTGGGATCGCGGAGCTCGTCGAAAAACGGATGGACCATGGCTTCGATCGCCGACAATCTTTCCGTTGGGGTATACTCGAGAAGTTTGCTGATGAGGTCGATCGCGTTCGCGTCGGCTTTCCTAAACACCTTGCTGAATGGATGGGGCTTAATTTGAGGGAACTTGTGCTCCATGTAGTTGGGATTCATTGTTCGAATCTGTTCCCTCGTGGGTGTGCCCAAAACCTTGATGATCTCGACTAATTGGTCAATACCCGATTCACCGGGGAAGAGAGGTTGTCCGAGCATCAGTTCCGCCATTACACAACCTGTTGACCAGACGTCTATTTTCGGATGAGTTAGTCCAAAGTCATTTTGAAGTTCGCGTCAGCTGAGAAAACCTTACCAATCTTAGTGGCGTAATTCGTCGCACCAAAGATCAGCTCCGGCGCCCTGTAGTATCTGGAGCAGATGTATGATACGTTGGGTTCGTTCTCTACCAGTATCTTTGCACTACCAAAATCACAGAGCTTCAGAACGCCGGTGGAAGGGTCGAGGAGAAGGTTTTGAGGCTTGATGTCTCGATGGCAAATGCCCTGGGAGTGGATGTAGGCAAGGGCACGGAAGAGTTGGTAGATGTAGAGCTTGACCTCTAAGATCGGCATGGTCGTCTTCATCTTATTAAAGAATCGCGAAGCTCGATAAACTGTCTCGGGGACAAACTCTTGCACGAGATTGAGGTAAACTTCGTCCTTCTGCGATTTGTTCAACGGGAATGTTAGCCAGGGTCGTCCGGTAAATGAGGGGTAGTGCGACAGAAGCCGCAGCCTACACTGAGCTCACCCGTTCTCCATTGGAGTAATAGAATGCTTTCAGTTGAACAATGTTTGGGTGTCGAACGATGCGCATGATTTGGAGTTCGCGGTTCTGCTACGATCAGCTTCTCGAAACCAACAGTGCGTGCCCGGGTGCCGGGGTCGATGGGGTTTGGGGAATGAACGGCACGTACCTTGAAGCGTTTATCCTGAAGCACACGCTTGATGGCGGCATCCTCTCCAGAGGGCGACAATTTGGTTTGAAAAACAACACCGAATGATCCATTGCCCACAATCTTGCATTGCGTATACTGGAGCTCTCTTGTCTCTCCAGTAACTCCATCTTGGACCTTCTCGCGGATCACCTCTGAAGGGCAAAGTAACGGTTAGTCTAATGCCGGGAGATGCGCCAATCAGAAAGAGGGTTGAAGGCGCCAAAATGTGTTGTGCTCACCTCCCATCCGCAGGGTGTTGAAGGCTGAAGGCCGGCTCGAAGACATGATCGCGGCGGATTCTGCCACTCCAACACAGAAAAGGACTGGAAATTTCAGGGCGCTACGAGTCGAATATACAATCGTATCGATTTCGGCAGGAGATTGGACGACGTCGAGACGAAAATCTGCCGGGCCGCGTGTGTGAGGGTGGAAAGTCGAGTAGGATTAATGTCGCGGGGTGCAAGACAAGGCCGGTCGAGAGCAGGGTCCGGAAGACGTTTCGGCACAGAGGTAAATGGAACAGAAGGGGAAATGCGTGGTGTTTGTGGATGGCAGATTTGCTTGGTTTGGTCGCTAAGCAGCTCCTCGTGGGCACCAGCCTAATTGATCGGGGGCGGGCGTGCTTCCTTCAAGTCCGGACAGAGATGTATACAACCTGATGCTTTTTCCTTCAAAGAGTGGGAAAAGAAAAAGAAAAAGTTGGAGATAAAACAGACGGAAAATGGATGAAGAAGTAGGAGTTTGAGGGAGTAGGGGAAAAAGGAAGGGAAAGCGAGGCTGGTCGAGAGCTAAGAGACGGCAATTTAGCAAAGGTTTGTAAATCGTTAAAGCCGGATTGAATAGGCCATTTTCCTAGTCGAGGTTCCCTTCAATTCATTCAGTGGGCAAGAGGAGAGGGGGGAAAGATCAATCTAGACTAGATCACTCTTTCGCTGGAAGGTCTGCGTAGGAATGTGGAGCGTGGAGTATGGGGTGAAAGGTTGGTGGGTATTTTGCTCAGGTGGGGGGGGAGGAGAAGAGATGAGGTCGTTTTAGGTCAGCTGGGAAGGAGAGTGAAGGAAGAGAGGAAGAGGGAAAGGTGAGAAAAAAAATATTCAAAGTTGGACTTAGAAGCAAAATAAAGGAAACGGGTAACTATGACGGCGATGGTATTACTTGCCCAGCTGCCACGAGGTTCGGTTCAGACAGGCCAGGTCTGGGACGTGGTGGCAAGATACACCAGCAGATCCGGTGGGCTTTAAAAGAGAGGCAACCACAAAGCTGACAGGGGGACGGGGACTGGTGGACACGAGGGGCTGTAGTTGAGGGTAGTGGAGTGCGAGTATGTACTGCGCAGTGAAGGTGTACGAGGTGGAATAGGTTCAATCTGGTGTTGGCTCAGGCTCAGGCTCAGGTTTTGGGCTTGGGTAGAGGCGTGGTGGTGGTTTGATGCAGGTGTAGGTGTAGGAAGAGGAATGGCGCTCGACAGACACGCCGATGCATGCAGCCCCCAGCCAGCTAAGGTGAGGTGATTGCTGCTTGGTCCCTTCTTTCTCTGGTCGGCTCTTTAGAGGGGCGGAGGTGGGAAATAATCATAAAAAGGTCCAGGTACATGCAAGCAGTGCAACCAGCAAGTCCAACCCTTGCTCGAGCTTGACAAAAATTCAAGCCATGAGGAGAGAATAGAGAGAGAGCCCAGCGGGCGTGGGAGAAGCGATCCTGAAAGCTTGGAGAGCTTTTTCGTCGGAGATACGGGATACAGATTTACCAGGCGCTGCTTCTGAACGAGCAATCCACAATGGACCTCGCCCAACTCGATCAACGAGGTTCTCGAGAAATGACCCAAGGCATAAACTGGTTGATGAGAAAATGAGGGGTAACAGGGTAGCAGGGAAGTTTCGCAGCCAGCCGAACTACTCGACTAACCCCGGCAAAAAGGGCAGGAAACATTGAACTTGACGACTTTCCACGAAGACGAAAAGGAAAAAGAATGGACTTACACTTAGCCTAGACAATGAGACGCAGAGAAGGATCAAATCTTGAACAGGGAAGTGCTCGAGGAGGAGATAACTTCGTAGCCTGGCTTGGGGGGAGGAAGGAATCACATTGGCGAGCCCTGGCGCCCTGGCTTCCTGGATCGTGGAAGTCACGGGATGAGGGAGCAGTGCAAAAAATTGGACCAAGTGATTTAAGCCTTCCAAAGTTGTACTCTAGGCTGGTACTCGAGAATAGTACTACAAAGAAACTTGAAATTTAAGAGAAGGTGGTGAAATGGAGCACTCGCCGCCAAAGGTATTGGTACCTGCCACACACAGGCCAAGCCATGGTCAGCAGCAGCCCACTTATGTACACCATACCCGTCCTGGTTCTAGTGCCATCCTAATCCGGGTTTGAACCGAATTTGTGCTCGAAGCACCAAGCAACTGCAACCAGAAGGATGAGTCCTGCTTCGGAGTGTACATACAGCTTTGGAAGTAATCGAAATCGGGCTAGGTGCTTCGACAAAGGCGTCGGATTTGGTTTTTTTTTCTTACATTTATAGAGGGAAACTCGTCCAGACACAAATCGATACAGTCATATGAAAAATCCCAGGATGAGATCTACTTGCGTACCAACAATGCAAGGACACGGGATCGACTGAGCAGAAATGAGACGAAGGTGGGGTTCAAGAGCTCTCTCGACTGAGGCAACAGATTTGTGGATTTGTTGGTGGCGTCACTGGTCATTGGTGTGTGACCTTCGTAGCTTCAATGGTGCCAATCAGGAGCTGGGCCTGGAGAGACTGCCTGTTACGAAGGACGGAGTAGAGTCATTGAGGACTTTTCACAGCAAACTCCCAAAACTCATGATGACCCTGGAAGACACGCGCTGGTCATCGTTAACGTCATGCTCACCAGCTGCTCCCGCTTGATACCTAGTCACTGATCGATAATGCATTCTTAGCACCTCGGGACTGAGCAGCTTGAAAAATCTACAAGAGAGAAGATTGTTGATCAATGTATATACTAGTGCCGGTCCGCTAGGGGGCCTCTCCCGAGAAGGAGCTCTCCAAAAACCACGAACCTGTCAATTGGGTAGGTTTCGAGGTCTGCCCTCCGTCTTAATACTATGAGGTCATCCCTGTGAAAACTTAGCTTCTCACGATACTCCTGAGATCCGCGACCTCCCTCATTCCCCAGGCAGGAATGCGAGATGGCATTGTGAGACACATCCAGGATTCCTCAGAGCCTTCAAGTTTTGAAACCTGAGAGCTCATGCTTGGCAGGTGTGTGCTTCGTACTGCCAGCTAGGCTAAGATCAGAGCAGAGACTATCGTCTGCCTCACATTGAGGCTGAAATGGGGATGTAAAGCTTGAGAGCCCAAGAGGCTCGCATCAAGATGACAACATTTTCGGAAGAGCCATAGCAGTCAACTGAGTCTTACTTGAACATCAGGGCGGATCCCTCATGGTCGGGTAGTTTTTCCCTCTTTAACCGCGATTGAAAGCTAAAAGTGCCACTTTTTTAGGTTTTAAACAGGCTCGATCCCTCTGCTCGATAGACTGTCTCAAGAGCAAACCAAGATTTCTAATCTAGGCCCAAAGCTCCGAAGCAATATGGCTCCAAATGACACCTAAAGCTGCAGGCAGGTGGAGCTCTATACATAGACATTGCTTCCAGGTCCAAGGGAACCCCTCGACTTCTAGAGTCTCGATGATGCTAGCAGCTCAAGGCGCGATCTGCACAGTCTTCAGACGATCCAAATGTTAGGCGGGTCTCTAGCACTTGCACTTGAAAATCCAGTCTCCGCCAACGATCTCTCACCACAACCCACATCTCAATCTGATGCAAAACCTCTCTTCGCTTCTTCAATGCGCTCTCCAATCACCTGGCTGGGCGTGTTTTCCTTTCTTTCCTTTACATGAGCTTGAGCCTGAGGTGCCTGCCGCGTCCCTACTTTGAGAGCCTAGCGCGAGGATCTCATGCACAAGGTACCTCTAAGATATCGGTACTTCCAGGCGAGGGGCCAGGGTAGTTCAAATGCATTGACCAATAAGTGGTCATGGCTCCCGCCGTCGAGGATCCAACCTCCCTTGGCATTTCTCACAGCGGAAACGGCGAGGGAACTGATAACCTGCAGCACCACCGTCACCAATGATTAATTCCGTCTCCATGCGAGAGGAGCCAACTTTGTTCTCACCGAGGCTTTCACTACTATAAATCGACGATGGGCTGTCTTGACCGCGGCCTCTACCGACCCGGGAGAGGTAGGTAACTTCGTATGGTTCTACTTTCCAAGTTCCCAGTGATATTAGTACAAGGCTTGCTGAGTGGGCCTAGAGTTCTGCCTACGTCACCAGGAGTGTTGGTGGAGAGGTACAGTACATTATAACGGTGAGGTTTTGCGGGGAACTATTGAGAAGTCGAGACCTTCCAGGAGTGCTTTCTGACTTCGGTGAACTCTACACTACACTGGTCAAGTCCCGCCGATCTAGCCAACGTCAAATTGATTCATCAATCAATATTCCACTGTGCTGTCTTTGCTGTCTTTGCTGAAAGATGGTCCCACTATCCCCATAAATGCATCAATCCACACTCCCAGGAACCCGGAAGCTTGCGCTGGTCGTGACCCTGTGGAACCGTCGTGTTGAGTGGGGCTGGCGGATACTCCAGTTGAATCAATCAATGAGGACTGCAACAATTACGAAGCCTTGAAATCGTCCTGCCCGTTGTCCTTCCGTCCTTCGGAGTGCCTAGGTGGCAGGTGGCTGACCAACTCGCTGGGATTCGGGCTAATCCCAGACTACCTAATAATAGGCGCCTAAGAAACGGTCTCATGACCACGTCTGCAACATGCTATGAGTGGCTGGTCCAAGGAGACAGGGACCCGTCTCTGGCTAACCTTTCCAGCTGCCCCTCGTACCCAGCATGACCTGTTTTGGGATGAAATGGTCACCGGACGAAGGTGGTTTTGCATCTGATTGCGTTAGCCACTCCCTGTCCCTGTTAATTGGAAGTCACGATTGGCCCACTTCGCTACGTGTATTCGCCGTCTCAAGATCGACAGAGACCGCTGAAGCCTTGCCCACCCAAAACAATCATGTTCACATTGAGCCGCTGCCTGCTAGCTTCAAAAACAGCTCCCGCGATCATTTTCGGAATGTTATAGGGCTGATGGCTTGCCCCAATAACGAGGCCGGATCTTTTGATGACCTTTCCAGGGGGAACGGGAAGATCTGAAGAGACCAGGCGCCAAGCAAGTCCATCCATCCAAAACCGAATGCAGGAACAGCTGAACCGAATGATCTTGACAAACCTCACATACTCAGAAAAAAGTCTAAAGGTAAGATTATTTTGATATGCAGAATAGCCAGGCTTTTGGTGCTGTCTTGCAGTCCCGTGCTAGTGAATCAGAAGAGGAAGGAAAAACCCTTCAGCCCGCGTGATTTAGGTGACTGTATGTCTGCCAAAGATCCTCCCCGAGCCATAATCTATAGGAATAACTACTTGACATGTGATCGTTCGCATCAGTCGAAGAAACTACAATTGTAGTAGTAAACTAGGATTCGACCGGCACCTGTCTCTTAGGCGAAAAGATAGGGTAATATCAATTATTGACGGTCCGACAGTTGCCTTGTGAGGATGGTTGCCTACAACGAGTCTCGGCAAGGTCGATCCGTCCCTTGACTTTCCTTCTCTTCCCTAAGAGGAAGAGGGAGAAGAGAAACAAAGAAGGATGAATGAGCATCTCGGTGAGGCTGTAACAGGAGCAGGACCAACCGAAGCACTATTTCTCATCGTGAGCGATGCGGCGTTACCAGACCTCGAGTTCCTCCATGATAGGTATCGCTCCTTTCTGGACCAGCCTTTGGGAGGCATCATACCGGTGAGGGCAACTGCCCAGCCACGCCGAGCAAACCCACCTCCTCCATTTTAGGGGTTAGAAATATCGCCCAAACCAGACCCAGACACTTGCTGCTTCGTTGCCGGCGTCGGTGTCACAAATCTGACACCAACAGCATTATGGATTCTGCACTCCAGTGTCTCACCTCGCCGGCCTTTCCTTTACACAACGGAGTACTTCGAACACGTTGAGGATGCCATTAGTGCCAGGCTAGTGGCAACTAAGGCGTCGACGGCAGGGATCATGTTTAAAGTATTGAAAATTGACAAGACAATTGTCAAGATCAGTGGCTGGTTAATGGCACTAGAGACACCTCTTCTCGGTGTCTTGAGTTCTCTACTGACCCCGCCGCAGACCCAGAAGAAACCTGCAAGTAGCGACCTCGTGATCGTTAGATTTTTCTTTTATTTCCGTGTTACCCCTCACTCCACCCCACCCCCTGGAGGCTGGAACCCTAAATCATGGTTTTAATACGCGATGAAGAGACATCAACGACGAGTGCTAGCTTGACCGGTGGAGAAATGAAGAGTCGCCCCTATCTCGGCGACGTCCATTCTCGCCTTGCTCAGCCTCAATGGGTGGTTCTTGCGCGACCTCATCTTGAGGAGGATCAGAGCGATTGGCTTCTTGCCTTGTTCGGACGATCCATCAATTTCTCTGCAGCAGTGCCTGAAAAGGGGACCCTTACCTTGCCTAATACATTCCTGTGCCTGACGGATCGTTGGGTTGATTGGATCAGACAACCTGTCTTAAACAAATAAAGCCTACAAGTAGAGGTTGGTTCGGGGCATGTCCTAAACTACTTCGTAGAGTATCCCTAAATGTCTCGGATGAGGGTGGGCTGTTCTCTTGAATGCCTGTCCTCGTGCGGCTCCTGTCATGGCAAGTCGTTCCTGTCGATGGAGGGGTCCTGGCAAGTTTTGCAGGGGCTGAGAGTTCCGCTGCTAAGATCCAGATCTCCGATTCGCTTTCTGTTTCTGTTTCCCTCTTCCAAGCCTTGTCATTCCGTTATTCAATTGATTTACATCTTATCAGTCGCTGCCATTGGCAGGGTAGATTCCTGGGAAGCTGTGAGCATTTTAGAGCTTCAGACGGCTGTTTCACTCGGACTTGGCGCTGCTCTGCTTATTATGGAGGATCCATTTGGGCGACTTCATTTGGCAAAAGTCGATGGAGAAATCCCGGGCCTGTACGATGACGTGGTGAGCCCTACTAAGGGGGCCCCTGAAACCCACTGTTCCACGCCGGAGACAGGCCAAAGTTGTTCTGCTGCGCCGAGCCGGTCACTCGGCAAAGCTCTCAAAGATCCCCCCCGCGGCGACGATAATGCCTTCTCGCTTATCATCGAGCTCTCTCAAGTCTGTCCTGGACTCGGTTGCAACGTCTCAATCCGAAGCTAAGACTTTTAGGAAGTATAAAGCACAAGTATACAATATCACTCTCTCCTCCGCGTTTCGAATGGCACCATCCATAATTGCCGGTCGACTCGTCCAACCACATTGCCGGGTCGCAATTGGGAGTTCAGCTCGATTTACACTATTACACTAATACCCTTTCCACGAGAGCTTGTTCAAGGAGAGGACAGGGGTAGGTCGAAGCTCTTCAACATCATGCCAATGTCAATTCAGATTCCCACAACCCGAGATCCACTCCTATTGCCTACAGAAAGAGTGCAAGAGCCTCTCGCCAGTCAACGTTCTACGCAGTACGACCCTTCCTGCTGCTTCATTGAGATTCCCCGTTTTCGTCATGATCAGCCACGATGCTACCTCGTCTCTGAACTATGCAGCGGCCGTCATCATCCGACAAAGGATCTGAATCTCACTCGCCAATCCCAAGCTTGATGCCTGAATGATGCCATACCATATTGCGCACCACCATATCATTGCCACTGGCGACTTCGTAATACTCGTGCCCCGCACACACACACACAGCGTTGGGAGGTTGAAGCGAATCTCCTGCGGGCTGGCTGACTTGCATTTCTAGAGACTGTCCGACGTTCATGCTTCGCCAATCTGGAAGAGAGCTGTTGGTCGTTTGCTATCTTGGGATTGAAGCTAACTTTAGGTCGCCCATATCTCAATGCTACCTTGACTGAGTTGACAAAGGGCAGCTGCAACAAAGCTCTATGAAGCTCTACGAAGCTCCGTGCAGTCTTGTTAGGCCTCTTTTCCATCTTGTTTATATCCATTTTCTCCTTCTTTTGCACCCCTCCAGCTTAGCCGGGTTCGAGAATGCCCAATTGAAACTTTACCATTGCCTATGATTGATCCCTAACGGGTATTTTTGGCAATGCAGTCGCCTGCGTGCTGAAGGATGGCGCGTGCCCAAGCCGGCATCCACCACATCTGGTGCCATTCTTCCCCTTTGAGCGACCCGCAGCGCGGCAGCCTATGGATCTCCCTTCTTCCTACAGGAAAGGTCGCGCAACATGGGTTTACGGAGCGAAGAGGCATGCTTCGTCCACTTAGCTTGCCATGTGGGATGCGGTGCGGCCCTTCCATACCCTCAAACTGGGCCTCGACCGAGAACGTCGTTTTGCCTCAAGAAACCTTTTTCCGAGACCCCCGGGTAAGCCATCCCTGGAGCTGATTCTAACAAGACCGAATTGTCCAATGGCGCAGAGAGGATGGAGAGGCTTAGTCGGGATGTGCAATGCTGTGTTCACGCACGAAATGTAATCATTTCCTCTCTGTCTCACCAGAGGCAATGCCACTCCCAAGCACAGGTGTCGAGCCCAAGTTTCAATGATCAGCATGCTCTAACCCGGGACAAGCTTGAGGATCTGCATACTCCATCCTCATCAAAAGAAAGAAAAAAAGAAATTTCAAGAACGAACATGCGGAGCCCTTCAATTCAACGTTGCTCGTCCTGCTTCGTCGGATAATATAGCTCTCCACTTATTTTTTCCCTTGCCCTTGTCAAAGGTGTTGAGACAAGGTGGTAGCATGCTGCAGAGGTCCACCTTGGGGCAGGCAAAGAAATGGGACCTATCACATGCACGATGCGGAGTGACCTTGTTTCTGTTCGCACCTTGCTCCTCTCGTTCGCACAACTGCTTGCTGGGAATGGAGAACTGGCGTCAAGTCGAGTCTCAACAAAATGCAAGAGCTGCAGCTTCTACCAAAGGAACAGCATCCCAATGCGCCTGAGGTCAGAGGGGGAAGGGCGAGATGTCTAGCAATTGTGGGAATTTGCTGCGAATGGCTTCCTGCTGGTATCATTTCAATGCTTGGCATGGGAATGACGAAGTAAACTTTCACCGCAGTATTCAGCGATTCTCAAAATAGGAAATTCGATGCTCCCATGATTCGCTGATCCTCGACACTTGACCCCTCTTTCCCTAGAAAAGAACCCCGCAGTTTGAAATGGAGGTGTGTAACGTTTGTGGGGTCCAAAGCTAGATTACTGCCAATAGGATCGCGCTATTCTACGAGGTGCTGTCAGCGGTCCTGCCCAGGAGGTATATAGAGTCAAATACGAAATAACCGTAACAAGTCAAGTAACAAGCACGAATGGTTCAGGGGTAGAATACTTGCTTCCCAAGCAAGTGATCCGAGTTCGAGTCTCGGTTCGTGCATTTCATTTTTGCCTTTTCCGACTATTTTGTCTTATCTTTTCGGCCTCCATTCTTTTTTTTTTTGCGAATATCAATTTCATGTTTTGTTCAGACAGATAACGTGTTTCAGAGCTCTCTTTCATTCCTTCCCCTACTGAAACGTCACTGGCTACTAAAGCCGCCCTCTTCAGAGATGAGAGCTCTTTGATGTAGCTTGGGCACGCTATCTATATTTTACCGAGAATCATCCACAATGGAACGTGGAGGAACCAAGCCTGCCCCACCACAAGCGTAACAAGCACTGAGCTGGAGCTTGCGTCGTTCAAGGGACACAGAGCCCAAAGCCAGCAAACGACATTGCAAAGGAACCCTACCTCAAACTAACACTCACTCCCCCATCTCCCCGTCTCCAAAAGCATCGCCGACTTCTCAAGGGCCCACGATGAGCACCAACATCGAAAAGACAGTCGCAAGACTGCAGGAAAAGATCAAAGAGGGGCAGTATTACGAAGCGCAGCAACAAACGCGAGTCGTAGCGGCGAGGTATATCAAGGCCAAGAAGTGGGACGCGGCTGTGGACATCCTCTTCAATGTTGCGAAGGCGCTGCTGAGCGCGGGCCAGGGGGGCAGTGGCGGCGATTTGTGCAATTTGCTCGTGGAGGTCTACGAGAAGGCGGAGCTGGAGCCGGATGCGAATTCTAAGGGGAGGCTGTTGACGTGTTTGAGGTTATTTGATAGTGAGGAGCCGACGAGGAAGAAGTTTATTGGTGGTATGATTGGGTAAGTCTGCGCTGCTGGCATTTTATGGACATTATTCTTAAGACTCTCGGGTTTAACTCAATGCTAACTCTTTTTTTTTCTTTTCTATAAGATGGTCTAGCAAGTTTGGCGAGTTCCCAGCCGGCGACCCCGAACTCCACCACGTCGTAGGTTCAATATACGCAGAAGAGCACGAAGCCTACGACGCAGAACGACACCTAGTGCTAGGGACCAAGGATTCGCCCGAGATCCTCGCCCGGATGGAATATAAATGGTACAAAGAAAGCGACCCGCATCTCGCCGCCCAGTTCGCCGCCCGCGCGGTCATCCCATACCTCCTCGTCGGCAACGTCCGTGCGGCGAACGCCTCCTTCCGCATCTTCACCTCAGCGTTATTGCAAGATAACAAGGGCCTCTCCGTGCAGGACGTCAGCAGCCAGAGCAGCGACGTCAAGATCTTCCCCAGCATACCGCTCCTCAACTTCCTCTCGCTGCTCCTGCTGGCCGTGCAGAGGGGGAGCGCCGAGCTTTATAGGCAGCTGATTACCAAGTACGCGACGCATCTCAAGGAGACTGGTACGTGGTTCGATACGCTTGATGCCATTGCTGAGATGTACTTTGGCGTGAGGAGGCAGCGGCAGACGAATCCGCTGTTTGATATGATGGGTAGCTTGTTTGGTAGCGGCGGTGGTGGCAGTAGCCAGCCCGCGAGGAGACCCGCCAACCGAGTGGAGGCGCCTGCCCCCGAGGGACTGGACTGAAGAAAATCCACATTTTTTCGTGGACTTTTCTTGTCGGTGTTTGGGTGGGAGTGGATGAGCAGCTTGCCCATGCCTGTATATAATACCCCTCTTATAGAAAAACGCCTCGAAGCGTTGACGAGATAATTTTTGTTCATAACTGTTCAATGACGTGCCTGTGGTTCCGCTTCAAACATCCAGTTGTCGTCCGCTAAGGCCACAACCTTCGCTCGTAGACTAGCCTTCACCGATTCTAGAAGAACTGCTCCAATCGAAGCCACATGTATGTTAGGCCATCATACCTCCAATCCTCGTTTCCAAACGCTCGCGAAAGGACACACCTTCAGTTTGATCAGCCACCGCATTATGATTAATCTGATAAAGCTTTACAGCTTCCGCCAACCGCCGTCTCTCCTCTAGAAGTAAGAAAACGCGTAAGCTTAACATATCCCATCGAGGCGAATATAGTCGTTCTTACTCTCCATCTCAGCCCTTTCATCAACAACCCCATCCTCCTCGTCCTCCCCCGCGATCCCCAACGCAACAGCCTCCCCAACCTCCAACTCGCCCTGCTTATCCCTCACGACAATTTCGTCCGAGTCGGAAAGAACGTCAACGCAGCTATCCAGACGCAGGGTCTCCGTCGAGGTGGAGGCCGAGGACGGTGTCGGGCGGCGCGTCAGCTGGCTCTGGAAGAGGTTGCGGCGGACGCCGCTGGCGGCAGTGGGAGGGGGCGCGGCGCGCGTGCGGACTTGGTTGGGGGCGTTGGAGGGGTTTCGGCGGGATAGGTCGGGCATTTTGGCTTTGGGATTGGTTTGTTTGTTTTATCGCGTGGTGTTGTTCTTTAATTTGGGTTTGGTTGTCGGATATGCGATGTTGATGTTGGGGCAGCTTAGGAACGGGCTGCTTGGGCGGAGATAATGGGCGGATTTAAGGTTTGTTGGATCTTGAGAGCCTCAACCACCGCAATATCAAAAAAATTAAGTCGCAATCATTTGGGTGGTGTGTTTGAAAATTATACTTGACAATCAATTGATGAATACGTTTAGGTTAATTTATACAAAAAATTTATAAAGGGAAACAATTCTCTTCATCAAGGATGGGTACCGTGGTAAAGTCTACGAATCACCTTGTCGACGCTGGTCAATATGCTAGAGGACTAGAGTGTGTGAAGGGACAACGAGTATGAGCTGCAGCAATAATATGTAGTCTTCCCAGACGACCAGAGCGGCCATCTTTCTATCCTCCAGGTTTTGCAAGGAGCTCGTATAATTCTGTATAAGAAATCATGGATATATTGTGCCAACTCCTCTCGCGATGCAAGCCTGTCTGCTCAAAACCACCAGGTCTATCCGCCTCGTCCTAGTATACATTGATACATCTATAGTACAAAATTTACAGTAGATCCGCCACGTACAACAATAACCCTCTTCGCTGTCCTAATATCAGACGCACCCCCAGACAACTTAGCCGCTCCCTCCTCCGTCTTCAAGATCTCCTCAACGATCCACTCCTTGAGCGCGTCATCTTTAAGATCCGCCGGTGGAGGCGGGATCTCGACGACGGCTCTCAGCTTGCCCTTGATCTGCACGGCGCACTTTCGCTGTCGTGGCTGCAACAGGGGCAGGGTGCCATCGGGGGTCGGAAAAGTGGCAGAGGAAAAGATCGAGCCGGACGAGGGGTGGAGCTGGCTCCAGCACTCTTCTGTAAAGGCGGGAGCTATGGGTGCCATCATCTTGAGGAGAGCTGAGAGGCCCTCACGCCGGATGGCGGGGCTCGCTTCGTTCTCGACGAGTGTGTTGGTTAGGCTCATGAGATCCGACACAACTGTGTTGAGCCCATAGACCTCGCTATATGAAGAGGTCACGGAGGAGATCGTCTTCTGCACGTCGCGCCAGACTTGGGCATCTGTATCCCATTGAGCAAGCTCATCGGCGCTCATGGACCCTAGCTTCTTCGATTGTTCCTCGAGGAAACCCTTGGCCGAAATATCTACCGCGTTGCTGTCGGGTTTATCCAGTGTACCGACATAGTTGTATAGTCTGGACAGCCAGCGGGTGACACCAGAAATCTTCTCCTCATCCCAGTTCAAGGCCTCGCTGACAGGCGCTTGGAAGAGGATGTGGGCGCGAGTGGCATCGGCACCGTATTTTCCAATGAACCCAGTGGGATCTACCCCGTTGTGTTTGGATTTGGACATCTTTTCATACGTCATGTTTGCAACGGCACCGGTCGACTTGACCCTCGGTGTCTGTGGGTCCGACAAGTCGAGCTCATCAGGTGTGAGGAATATTCCGGTGTCGGGGTTGGAATACGTCTTGCCTTGAACCATTCCCTGCGTAATGAGTCGCGCAAAAGGCTCGGCAGTCGTCTCGGATGGATCTTGGGGATTGGGGAAGAGGGGAGTGGTGCTTAGGAATTTGTAAATGAACCGAGAGTAGAGTAAGTGTAGGATGGCATGCTCAATGCCGCCAATATATGTGCCGACGGGTAGATATTTCTCTGCCGCTTCCTTGGAGAAGAGCTGGTCTTTGTTCTTGGGATCGGCGAAGCGAGCAAAGTACCAACTTGAGTCCACAAAAGTGTCCATCGTGTCCGTGTCTCTCTTGGCAGGCCCGTTGCACTTGGGACAACTGGTGTTCACCCAATCGCTGGCATGCTCGAGAGGGTTTCCGGGTTTCCCTTCTTTCCAATGATTGTCGACCTCGGGAAGCTCAACTGGCAGCTGTTCTTCGGGCACGGGAACAGGACCACAGGTACCGCAGTGAACGATGGGAATCGGTGCGCCCCAATACCTCTGACGGCTGATAAGCCAGTCCCGAAGCCTCCACTTCTCGACTGGAGCCGCAAGATGCGCGGCCTCCAGCATGGCAATGAGCATCTTGCCACCCTCAACCGAGGATTTCCCCTTAAATGGGCCACTGCCTGCCGTCATGATACCGTGATTGACAAAGGGGTCGTTCGGAAGGGCCGTCGTGGACTCATCCTCCGATGCGGCGAGGACAACGCGGACGGGTTCGTCATATCGATGCTGTTTCCAGAAGGCATGGTCACGGACATCATGGGCCGGTACACCCATGACGGCACCCTCGCCGTAATCGCCGAGCACGTAAGGCGCAACATAAACCGGGAGTGATTCCTTAGTCGCGTCGGGAGTATGCTCGTGGTATGCAAGAGGATTTACGGCGCGGATATGCGGCAAAAGATAGCCAACCTTGGAATCAGGCGGCAGACCAGGTAATGTGTCCAAGAAGGCCTGCAACTCAGGGTCTACTTTCGAGAGTTTCTGGACAATAGGATGCGTGGATGCTAGAGCAATATACTGGACGCCGAACAAGGTGTCGGGGCGCGTTGTGTAAACCTCAACGGAGGAATGCACGTCATGTCCCATGGCCATGATGGGAAACTTGACCATAGCACCGGTCGACTTTCCAAGCCAATTCTTCTGCATAGACAGCACTCTTTCAGGCCAGGCGTTGTTCTTTTCGAGAATTGAGAGGTCTCGGAGCAGCGCCTCTCGGTATTCCGATATGCGGAGGAACCATTGCTTAAGCCTTCGCTTCTCGACCTTGGCTCCGGATCTCCAAGAGCAGCCATTGGCATCTACCTGCTCGTTTGCGACAACAGTCTTATCGACGGGGTCATAGTTGACTTCGGCCTCGGCCTGGTAGGCAAGGCCACGCTCATGCAGCATCAAGAAGAGCTTTTGGGTATGCTTGTAGAAATCGGGGTCGCACGTTGTTATTTCCTGCAAGACGGCGTCCGGGCAAAGAGTTAGCTGACGGTCGGTCCTCGCCGCGATGACCACAACCGAACAAGCGGTGAGAGAAGATAAGCACATACCCTGTCCCAGTCCCAGCTGGCGTTCATGTGCTGCAATTGATCTCTCATCTTCTGAATGTTGTCCTTCGTCCATCCGGCGGGCGGGAGTCCTCGAGCTAGCGCGGCATTCTCAGCGGGCAGACCAAAGGCATCCCAGCCCATTGGCAGGAGCACATCGTAACCTTGTAGCCTTCGGAAGCGAGCCACGACATCGGCAATCGTGTAGACGCGAAGATGGCCGAGATGGAGGTTACCGGAGGGGTAGGGGAACATGGGAAGGACGAATTGAGTTTCATTCTTGGCCGAGTGAGGTTTCGGTTCGGATTTCGACCAAGTTTCTCGCCATTTTCGGTCCAGAGCCGGCAGATCGAGCCTTGCGGTTGCGTAGAGTCGGGCGTGGCGCAACGTGGTTCGGCGGGGAGCAAGTGCAGCTGTGTGAGGGCGCTCCGGAGAGCACCTGACAAGGGAGACAAAACTCCGACGCGCCAAGGCCCTGCAGCTCGCCGGGGAGCTGACCAGTGATGTTCCGATTAGTAGCTGCATTGAGGCCGTATCATGGTCAAAACACGGGGGGTGTTTGTTGGGTTCCGCAGGGTTTTGCGGCTCGTCGCTGTGTTGGTGTGTGTGGACGGTGAGTTGAAGCTAGTCAGACCACACCGACAGAAGGTCGAGGTAGCCTGTAGCGGTCCGAAATTTATTTTTTTAGTGACCAGTCAGACTTGTTCTCCCGCGCCAGAGCCAATCCGAGCCGGCTGCAAGGTACCAAATGTGGCAGTTCGACGATGCGCCACAGGAAAATAGAGGGAAAGCCACAAGTGCTCCTTAGCACACGTGACGTCATGCAGGCTTCCCCCCCGCCATCAGTGCATCTCTGGACCCAATGGGATTGAATTAAATTGGGACTGAGAGTACCACTTGATTACCTATTGTTAAAAATTACCAAGAAAAATGCGCTGCCGCCCGCGTACATCTGCAGGGCTTTCCGTTCGCTATGACAAACCAGAACAGGAAACCCCCACCAAGAACGATCTGGTTGTCGTGCGGGGTGCTTGGAGATGGTGGGACAGGCCGGAGTTCGAAGGGAAGGGTCCGGCCAGAAACGCCAATGGCAGCAAGTTCAATTCCAGCAAATGGACAGGGAATTAAAACCCTCATTGTTCTGGAGCGTCTGGAGATGGGTATAGTGTAGTATCGTGCATTGCGCGAGCGTGGGAGGCAACTTAGAGCTTCACACCAAGGTGTCGATGTCGACGTGGTGGTGGACAGGGTCGCGTGGGCGAGAATTGATATAACGAAGAGGGTCCAGCTGCTTGTTTCGGAATCACTTGCTTCTTCATACGAGATGCAATATTGGGATTGAACTCCACGCCCACGGGCCACGACGAGACTCCCTACGATCAGACATGAGAATACATAGGCGAGAAGGAACCCGCGGAGAGTTATGATATTGACATGCGATGCTTACCTTCGGCATTTCTCTTCTGTCTCTTCTGTCTCCCCTATCGGCTCAAAGTCCATATTCTCTTTAAGACGGAAGGTCCCTTCTCTAGCCCTCTAGTCTTTGATCTATATAAGAGACTACAAGTGCTACCTCGGACATGTACAGACATCAATCAATTCTCGGGTTACAGCAATAGCCATAGTTCTTTCTTGTCAGACTTAATCAACTCCAAGTCTCTCAAACTCCGTCCACACTCACTTCCATTCTCCACTCATCTCCCCCTGTTCTTTGTTAAGCATTTCTTCCCGCAGCTTTCCCTTTATCCCCCTGTCGCTACCTCCGATTTGCCGCTGTGGCTTGCTTGTTCTTCAGTCTAAAAAACTGCCGGAAAGCTATTGGATCCCGGACAGCAACTTTAAGCCTTCTGAATCCGAGATCCCGAAATCGGAAAATACTGTGGTGCTCTAACTGCTCCAATTCCCCCAACTTCAGGACCCCTCCGACGATCCCTGGAGAGCTTCTTTCCTCTCTGGTTCTTCTCACTGAGCATTTGGCCTTGATTTTAGTCCATTGCATCATACATCCAACTCGCCAATTCGACTCAAACAATTTGGCCTCGCTCCTTTGAGTATCGCTCGTCTTATTTTAGTTGGTTTGAACTACTTAATAAGCCTGATATCGCAGTCAAGCTTTTTTTGCCGTCGTTTCCCTTTCTCAGGTACCATTGATATCAACATCTTGACCAGTGATAACCTCAACTCCAATTCCCCCGCCCCCACCAAACATCACCAACATCACCAAATATCGTCAGGCCGCCGCCATGGACAAAATCACAAACAAGATAGCGGCCCTACCGCCCGACGCGACCTATACGTCGCTCGAATTCTTCCCGCCCAAGACCGCCATGGGCTTTTCTAACCTGCGCGACCGGCTCGACCGCATGGAGCGTGCCCTGAAGCCCCTCTTCGTCAATGTCACCTGGGGCGCCGGCGGTTCAACAGCCCAAAAGTCTCTCGACCTTGCCGAGATCTGCCAGCGGGAGCTTGGCCTTACCACTTGCCTTCATCTAACGTGTACGAATATGAGCCGACGCTTATTGGACAGGGCATTGGAAGACGCCAAGGCCCTCGGTATTCGTAACATCCTAGCCCTGCGAGGCGATCCTCCCCGGCCGGACGAATACAGGGCCCTTGATGATGACGAGGTGACGGATTTTGCTTGGGCTGTCGACTTGGTCAAGTACATCAGGGCTACCTACGGCGACTATTTTTGCATTGGCGTGGCGGCGTATCCCCAGGGCCATGCTGATGGAAGCGCACCCGAGACGCAAAGCCTAGAATACGACCTGCCCTACCTCGTTGAGAAGGTCCAAGCCGGTGCAGACTTTATCATTACACAGCTCTTCTTCGACGTAGAAGCGTACGACAAGTTTGAAAAGACTCTGCGGGAGCACCCGAGCGGGGTCTTCAAGACTATTCCCATTATTCCCGGCCTCATGCCCATCCAAAGTTACCAGATGATCAAGCGCACGACAAAACTTAGCCACGCTTCTGTTCCGGACTCGATCATGGAGAGGCTAGATGCGGTCAAGGGAGACGACGAAAAGGTCAAATCAGTGGGTGTCGACATCGTCAGCGAGATCGTCGAGAAGGTCAAGAAGATCAAGGACAGGACGCCAGGGCCCAAGGGTTTCCACTTTTACACCCTGAACCTCGAAAAGGCCGTCTCCTTTATTCTCGAGAGGACCCATCTTATCCCGCAGTCGGACAGCGACGAGGAGGACGACGTGGCGGTTGGAGGCGTCGAGCCTATCCCCGTGGTCCGTGTTAATGGCGTTAACGGCGCCAATGAACTCGCCCGCAGCAGTACCCGCCGCCTCTCGACAGTCGGCTCGGATCCTCGTAACAGAGTAATCGTTTCTGGAGCCGAGGTGATGAACCCTGACTATGAAGCCAGCGCCCAGGAGGCCGGTATCCCCGCGGAGCCCGTCAACACCCGCGCCAACACCCTCGCCATATCCGAAGGCGAAGGCGTCCTCGGTCGCGAAGCCACCTGGGACGACTTCCCCAACGGCAGGTGGGGCGACGCCCGATCGCCCGCCTACGGCGAAATCGACGGCTACGGCGTAAGCCTGCACATGTCGACGACCCAAGCCGTCCAGCTCTGGGGTGCACCCACCTCTGTAGACAACATCAACGACATCTTCCTCCGCCACCTCCAGGGCACCCTCACTGCAATCCCCTGGAGCGAAGAGGGCCTCCTCCCCGAAACCAACGCCATCCAGAAACACCTCGTAAACCTCAACAACAAAGGCTGGTGGACCGTTGCGTCCCAACCCGCCGTCAACGGCCGCCGCTCCTCCGACCCCACCTTCGGCTGGGGTCCCGAAAACGGATTCGTCTTCCAAAAGGCGTTCGTCGAGTTCTTCCTCCCCTCGGCAGACTGGACCGCCCTCCGCGCCAAAATCCGCGACCCGGCCGTCGCCCAGTCCATCTCCTTCTACGCCGCGAACGCCAACGGCGACTTCGAGACCTCGGACGACGTGCCCCCCGGCGAAACCGCCACGCCTAGCACCAACGCTGTCACCTGGGGCGTCTTCCCCGGCAAGGAAATCATCACGCCCACCATCATAGAGGAGGTTAGTTTCCGCGCTTGGAGCGAGGAGGCCTTCGGTATCTGGGCTGAGTGGGCGAGGGTCTACGGGAAGGGATCCGCGAGCGAAAAGTTCCTCGATGGGATTAGGAAGGATTATTGGCTGGTGAATATTATACACCATGAGTTTATTGACGGGGAGGCGCTTTGGAAACTCCTGGAGGCGTAGGTCGCTTCGGGAGCCAAAATGGGACTCTCTGCATAAGGAAGAAATGATGAGCAAATGGGAAAGGATAGAGCAAATTTCACCGGGAAGTTTTTGGGGAGATTGGTCATGGTACAAAACGCATAGCGGATGAGGATACGTAGATGGAATCAATACCACCGGTTCAATGTTTATTTAACTGAAACAAACGAGGAGTTGCAAGTGGAACAACAAGCAAGATGCGGCCTTTTCCCTCTTTGCTGGTGGATGTTTAGTGAATGACTCGTGCTTTGCATTGATATCAGGGAAAGGAGGCGCGCATGAAGCATCTTGAACGTTTCTGCCGCCCTACTTGATTAGCCCGCCTTAATGTATGGTTGAATCTTGTTATATACTTGAAAAGGGTCCGAGGCCAACGTTAATTTCCAAGGTGAAGGCAACGGGTCCTATGCCTAGGGAAGAGTAAAGAGTCTGGGTTTCATAGATGTATTAAACACCAATGAATCGAATCGCACCACTCCTAGGTAGACTCAGCCGGTTTCTATGGCGAGACAAAACCGGCCTTATGCTACCCTGGGCGGTTACGATGGTGAGCAGGTCCCAAGATGGTGCGGACGGCACTCGGAGATGATAGTAGCGCCTACTGTGCTTAAACGGGGTTGAATTTTGAAGAGAGTCGAGAAATCAGAATAGAAGCGGTAGGTGGGACCAAGGAGGTCCATCATACTCTCTCGAAAAGGCAACCCAGCTGGAAAAGCTCCTGGGAGGGTATGTATGGAAAACCCACAGATATACTGACATATGTTACGGCTGGTATCTCGACCGTAGGGTGAAGTTTTTGAAGCCTCAGCTCTGATTGACGGCAAAGACTGAAGCCTGGACGGAGGCAGTTCGATTCCGGTCTAGACCACACACAATCTTCTACCTACACCAGATAGCATTGAGCACTAAGAATCACTCCACCGATAGTATAGAAAAGTTTCGTTCACCCAATATTTGACAGCATCAAGGGACATCACGGCAGTTGAGCTCGAGCAACACGAAAGTCACACAATCAAAGACTCCGAGACTCCGCCTCGGATTGTTTTGAGAATCAAGGTTTCAAAGCGCATAGTTCTCGAAAGGAGTAAGGGTAACATCAATGTTATTACTATAATGTCCTCGAGCCAGGAACTAGCTGTTGATCAAGATCGGGTTTGGTCGACAAGCTGCATATATCATTCAATGTCCACGGTCATGGCACCCCATTCAGTGATGGCAAGACGAAAATCAATAATGCCCTTGAGATGTGTTACCCTGCAGGTGCCATAAGAAACCGTTGGTTGCTTGTTTGCATACATCCGCGAAACCGAACCTGTTCCATTCATCTCTGGGCCAACCATTTCCCCTAGGTGACCAGTTCCTAGCTAGAGTACATTTTCCTCCCTCTCATGTCCAGAAAACAAGTGTGGAGTAAAAAAAAAACAAGACGTGAGGTGAGGTATAAAGCGAAGATATGCAGCCAGTCCTCGAAAAGAATCGAGCTGACACGGATGGTATCGTCGCTAAAAGGCCGTGCTTTGAAGAGAGACAAAAGAAAGAAAAGAAAGAAACGTCAAATGGCGTTGAAAAAAAGGAAACCCTGTGTCCGCCATAATCCATAAAACGCCGTCCATCACACAAAAGAGATTCGTCACAGAGGCCGGTACTTCGCCCAAAGAATAACTGAATGGACTCGAAACTCATTCGAGCCATAGCGAACCCCATAGCTTAAATCTCAAAGTTGCAGAGGTCCTGGTGGTACTTGTGCACATCCTCTGGAGCTAGAAGTGTCGAGTTCATAGAGTTTCCACTCTCGAAACTGTCCGTCTCGTAGAAGGACTGAGACAGAGTGGCCTTAGTATCGACGTCAGAGCCGGCAGGGAAGGACTGGCTAGCTGGGGTGAAGACACTCTCCGAGCTCTCCGACGTCATGTCGAAAGTCGCAGATCCCGACTTCTGCCTCTTGGGGGCCGGACGAGCGGTGGGCGTCGGGGTGAGGTCGCGAGCCTTATAATCAACCTCTTCCGAATCCTCCTCTTCAGAATCGCTGAACTCACGTTTCAAGGGAGTCGAAACAATCTTCTTGCGCGAAGTAGACTTGGGAGTGGCACGGGAGCGACCCGTCGTGGGGGTCGACTTCGCCGAAGCTCGGGACGATGGCGTTGACGGGTTCATGCTGAGAGCAGTCGTCGGGTCTTTTCCACTCTCCGCGGCAGCTCGAAGCGTGGCCGCATCCTTCTTGATCGTCCTAAACTGAAACTGGATACCATCAGGAGTGGACTCTCCGAAGTACTTGCAAATATCTACGAGAGAATAGTGGTTAGCTTAGTGAAACGACAGGCGGTGGCTGCTGTGAGTGTGATGCTGTGATAGAAAACACGAAAGGAAAATGAGGTGAAAGCCCATACTTGGGTCAATTTTATTTTGATCCTTCGGAAAGTTGGCTTCGGTAGGCATATCCTTGGGATCGTGACCTTCCTTCAAGCCGCGTCTGATAATCTCGGCCTGCGTCTTGAGGTGGCGCATTCGGTGGCCCAGCTTGGTCTCGTTCAAGTCAGAACCATAAGACTTGACGATGTCTGAGCTCAAGTAATCAGAATCCAGTCTAGGGGAAAGGGGGAGACCGCGTGGGAACAACTAGATCAAGTCGGGTGGGCTATCGCCGTGAAGGGAGAGTGGCATGGGATGTGTTGAAATATGAAGGACCCGGGGCCAACAGAAGGGAAGAAAAGAAAGAGGGCTAGGTTAACAATACGGAAGAACAGCACTTACCCTTGTAGTTCCACTTCACCTCAGGATGGGCGGCAACAATGGCCCTGAGGAGGCGAGCTTGGACGTCGAAAGTCCTGAAGTTCGTTTTGGGAGTCGTAGGAGCCATCTTGGTCTTTGTGGGATCCTGAGAGACGTTAGAAACTGTCCTAATACTTGGAAAAGACCCAGGTGAGGCTCATGAAATTAGTATCAAATGACTCGAAAGCTTACCAGAGCGCGGTGTAGTGTACGATGGTTGTGCGAAGCAAAGGAGCCAAGTTGGCGATAAACGAGAGGGGAGGTAAGGATGACTGATGGAATGCGAAAGTTAGAACGAGGTTGAGAGAGGAAATGAGAAGACAAGGTGACAGAAGGAAGATAGAAGGCAAAAGAGCGAGGCACGAGGCACGAGGATGAGAGTGGCGCCGAGGAAGTCGCGAAGCTAGAGCGCTTGGTAGAAAGGCAGGAAGGAGCGAGTGGACAGAGACCTCACTTACTTGGAAGAACTGAGGAAGAATGAGGTTTGGGAGAGGCTATTGCCAACTCGCGTTCTGAGAATGCGAGTTAAAGAGTACAGGGAGATGATGGCCTCGTCGGAGCGAAGGACTAGTCGGGGTTGAGAGCTCGAGTTCTCAAAATCGAGTGTGGATGATGCTGTTGCGATGCGTGAGTTTGATGGCCAAGCTCGGATGAAGAGTTGGTAAAGGAGATGGAGAGATGTGGAGGTTGGAACTCAAGAGATGCCGGGATGACGAGCTTTTATTCCAACACAGTCCAGACGGATCAAACTACGGAAGGCGCCCCCGACTCTATGAGAGGAAGCTGCAATCGACTTCGGTTCAAGATCTCAACCCGACACTAGACAAGTTGATTCCTGTTTCGCGACTGACCTACCGAATTGGGTAATAAACGGCGTGCTCGTAGGAGCGCGATTGGGGGTAAGATTTCTTGGAGATGCGGCCGTGGGGGTTTCGTTTATGGAAGCCGATCTTCAGGGTGCGATGCGCTCGCAACCAAACCCAATGGGTAGTATAGACCCTGGCGATGCGACTGTATGCGGCGATGCCAAACCAATATTGACTTGAAAGCGCGCTCGCTAGAGTCTGGGCTGGCGGAAGAGCCTAATAAAGAAACCGGGAGATGTGCCTGGATGAGATCCAAGGCGCTCGTGGTTGAACCTCTACTCGCCGAACAATTCTCTCCTTCTCGACTCGACGTGCTTGAGAGCAGGGGAAATGATCCCCTGTCCTTCTCTTAGCCGAGTTGGGTGCTGAAGCCGACTTTTTGTTGTAGGGATTGGATCCGTGTAAGTCGAGGTCGAGATAATCCGAACCGTACCCGTAGCTCCGGTCTAGTCTGGAAACGGTCCGAGCAATTAATACACCCGCACAATGCGAAGGTTTTGATGGAAGGTATTTGCTCAAGAATACTTGCAACTATGAGAAGAGGGCCTCAGGAGAGCGAGGCAGAGGTGCGAGTGTGTGGAGAGGTGAGTGGTGCCTGCCTGGGAAAATGGGGTGGCTGGGGAGAATCGCCTCTCGACTCGTACTGGTGTGAGGGAGTTGGTGAAGCCTAGATGGATGCTACTTGGCCGCAAAACAGCGAACTTTCCAATAATTCTGTTCTCTCTCCTTTTCCGCACTACTGCGGGGAATATTGGTTCAAAATGAGCAGCAGGAACTCGAGAGAAATTTTCTGCGATTCTAGAGGCCCTGGTTGTGGTACTGTCGAGGTGATATGCAGATTGCCCTTGGAGAGAGTTAAGTACCTGTTAACAGTCTATAACGCAGCGCTCCTGTGTCGAGAGTTCGAGATGCAGGGGGGCAACGACGCCTCGAAAAAAAGAGGAGCTGCCTGGGCAGAGCAAGCAACAGACCACTCGTCGCCCTCCACCAAACTCAATTGGCAACTGGGTGGGTGTAATTACCCCTGTCCATCTGACGTCTTGGCTATGGCATATCAAAGCCAAGCCATTGGTTGCCATTGAAAGTTGACTGTTTTGGGGCTCGAGGACAAACTTGAGCATCGACATTGTCTTAAGTTCGCACCTCCCGACGGGAGGGCTTCCATTCATCATTATTAGGGTTCTAGTACTATTGTATATGGATTTATATAGATTATATCGGCATTGACAATGCATTCGTGTGCAATATCCCACCCCCCATCCCCCATCCCCAAGCCGTGAACAATAAAACGCCGTTTCTATACGCCCAGAACTTTCCATGTCCAGTCATAGATCATTGATCCTCTTTCTCCCACTCCCTGAAGCACAACGAATCAGCTAAAACTTTTCCTCATTGACGCCAAATCGGCCCGTGGGGGTTGGACCATACTCAGTCGAAGACACCTTTGCAAGCCGGGGGCCCAAAAAATCACCGCCCGCAATATCGTCCATCAGGTGGTCTTTGACCACTTCGGGCTGGCCCTCGCCGTACATCAAGTATTGGACGCCCAGGAAAGAATCGCAGCAGGCCTGGAAGATGCCGCACATCTTGAAAGCGAAGGGGATCGTGCCGGGAGTCGTGAAGAACCAAAACATCTTCATGCTGTCGCCGATGAGCCAGCTAGCGAGCACGGAGAAGCGGAAGCCCTTGCAGGACTGAGACTGCGTATTCGCGAGAATCTGGGGGATGGGCAAGGTCGCCTCGATGGCAAGGCCCATGTATCCCAGGATCGATGCGTAGCCGGTGTAGACGGTACCCCAGGGGGATAGAAGAAACTCGCACAAGACCAATGCGACGAAGAGGTAAAGCAAGAAATTCCAGTATCTGGTTTTGTGTTAAATTTTTTCCATGTTAGAGCCCCATCCCACCTAGTGTCTTCACCCCAGGAAAACAGAGAAAAGAAGAAAAGAACACGAGGAAAATTCCTTACGGTTTGGGCGATCGCCATTGCCAAAAGTTGTAGGGCCTGGAGTACGCCCACCGTGGCTCGGTAGCGCCGGCAAAGGGAGTAGCAGCCTCCCCGCCCTTCGAGGACGGCGGAGGACGGTGATCGAGCGCAATCTTGAGCAAAGCAACTTGCATGAAGACCATCAGGACCGCCTGGGCGAGGAGACTTCCTTCAAAACGCGCGCTGGGCCAGTAGAAGATTCTAAAGCCGCACATCAATTAGCCTCCAACCTATTTGTAAGATACGGCGCTGATGCCATTTTTTTTCCCTCTTATTTTTCTCAATCCTTGTTCGGGCATCGGCGGGATATCACCAACTTTAAGAGCGAAGCCACGAGCATAATTAGGGGAATGTCGAGAGAAAAGCCCGCGCTCGACTTGTTCCTATGCATCGATACAGCCTGGTCGCCGTAGGACAAAATCGGCGACATGACGATAAATGCCGGGGCAAGAACGCCCGTGAGGTCTGTAAACCATCCCATCTTGGGTCTCGGATCGCGATGGGGAGCTTGCGCCGGAGTCGTCGGAACGGGCGGAGGAGAGGGTAAGTCGACGCCTCGGGTATCGAGGAACAGAGATCGGGCTCTGGCTGTACTACCGTCGGGTCATTCGCAGGCTTAGAGGTCTGCAGCGGCGATGGTTGGTCAAAGGAACAGGAACAGGCTTGCCCGTATCAGTATGGGTGGTGCGTTTTGGTTGAGGTGCGCTGTTGTCCTGCTCCTTTGCCTGTCACGCAGACTGGTGTGGAATACCGCAATACTTGGTACGAAGCAAATTAATACACTTGCGCAATCAAATTGTGACCAAGGCCCGGAAGTGGTGGAACGGACGGGAGCGCCCACCGTGGCGCAAATTTGAGGCGCGACAGGGGATCAAAATTTGCCCATCGTTTCCTGGTGCCCCATCAGACTCCGGTCACAAGCTCAACATGAACGAATAGAAAAAAATCTCTAAAATTTCACATCGAAATTTGTTACAGGAAAACCTTATATTGAAACAAGAACGGAGCTATTCAAACCCCAAACGGTGGACAGACAAATTGATGCATGGACATATTCCTTAGAAGGCTTGAATTCTACTTCGTCTGTTCTGATGTTGTCAGTTGTCAGTCAATTCGAGACGACCGTTAATGTAGATCCAGTGGACCAATTGATGACGGCTGTGGGGCCCTGCTCTCATTCCAGCATTGAGAAACAAAAGCCGTGGAGCCTCAACAAGTCACGCTTAACACTCTTCGACCCCAAGTAATATATTATCAACGACATGCGCATCACACTGTTTTCTCTGGCACGGATATGCCTTTGCATCTGTCCTTGGGTTGCAGGCATGAAGATTGGGACATGGCGAATAACAGTAGATGTCCTACCGAACGGCAATCAGATCTAAACCTTGCCCACTGCCACACATTGGATGGAGCAAGGCAAAAGAATCTTCTTATGGTTGGTTCTGCGGTAACCGTCACGGACGACGAAACTTGCGAGGTAGGACTTGTGTGTTTACTATATAAAGCTTTGGAAGGTTCCCTAAATTGTAAAACCATGCTCGACGAAATGGCGATTTGTTCTTTAGCAGTGGCACAAGTGGAACGGGGCGGTATCTATGAAGTAGGTTCGGCGATAGACTTCGGCGGTACTCCAGACACGAAGATCGAGGTTTCTTGTCTGGCTGTCTTTCCCCTTTCCAAGGCCGGAGATCTTTTCTTAAGCCCGCCAAGAGGGAATTGATATCAATTGATCGCCTCCTGGTCTGACCAAGATTGGGGAAAGCCTAACCTGGTGGGAAGGGGTAATATCGCACGCTTGGGGTGCTGATTCGTCCATCTGCGTTGTGACGTGGAGCCAACAGACTGTACAAAGTACTTCGAACCTTGTCAGTACCGAGGTACAAAGGTACTTGTTCTTGATTACCATTGCCGTCCGTCGCGGGTGGGTTCCACGAGTCCATGTGCTGTCATACTGCAGACGGATATGGCAGAGGATTTGCAACGTGCAGAAGACGAGAGGTTGAGATCGGCGAAATCTCCCTGCAGCATGAACTGTACAGTATGAGTGCTGCATTTCATCCATTCCAATTCAGGTACCGACATCAGCTGTGTCCAAATAAGGAGGAACCGGAAATCATTACCTGCGGACCTACGAAGTAGGTCTACGGTTGTAATTAGATGGTACTTGTAAATGGGCAAAAATCCCCAATTTCACACTTCGAGATGCTTTGTACCGATCGCCATCGGCCAGGGGATGTCATTCGGAGTTGCCCTGCTCTAAGACAACTTCAATCCATCGCCACAACCTCTCGTCTGCGAGAAGCCTGTGGTTGAGTTCCGACACCACCGTTAACTTCCGTGCAACTGCGAGTCTACTAGTTTTGATGGTCCGGTCACTGGGGAATGCAGCATCCTCTGCCTGCTTTACATCCTCTTCCGAAAGGTCATCTCCGCTCAGTTCAGAAAGGAGCTGCCTGTTATCCTCCCGTTTGGCTCGTTCGTAGAAGAGCCTGGGGATATCAACGCCTCCATCTTCCACCTTATAAACAAGTTCATATAGGATTCGAAAGAGCGTGTAGTCTTGTATGGAAAGCATACGAACCAGCTGATGAAAATGCCAGACCATGTTAGCATTCTCCCAGTAGTCGGGCCCGAGCTGTGATCCTTCGCCAAAGCCTGATCTGAAGGCAGTAATGAGCAACTCCGAAGGTGGCGAGACTGAGTTCCCCATTCTTGCCGCAGCGAGGAGCCCGGTAATGGGACCTGATGATGCAGAGCCCCAATCAATAATACATGTGATGTTGAGATTTTCGTCAACGAATATATTGCCAGGATGGAGGTCCGGATGAGGGAGAGTGAAAAAACCATTGGCGGTAGAAAGGCGAGGAATCATTTCACGCAGAAACTGGCCGGCGATACAATAGGAAAGCCGATTCTTGCTGTTGTCGATTTTCTCACCAACTACCACAAAGTCATTCCATCGGCTAACTGCTGCTTTATAGCTGGCCCAGTTGGGATATTCGGAAGGATCGGGAATTGGAGCGAAAAAGGCATGAGGCCTAAGTGGAAGCTCCCTAGCATGGGACACAAACGCTGAGGCAAGAGAGTCCAAATACCGGTCCTCTTCAATAAATGGGCCGCGGTCTATTCCATCAAGCTCATCCCTCCACTGCCAAAGGAGTGACGGGGAGAGGCACTCGCCAATTGAATAGTGGCCATCGCCATCCTCAAAAAGGGAACCGATCTTTTCAAAGCGAATCTTTGATAGCTGTTCCATTATGGCTGCTAGCTGTTTCATAACTTTCTCTCTACCCTGGTCAGAGAGAGGTAGTAGTGGGTGGAGTGATGGATACCCAGGTATTTGGCGGGAAATCTGGGTCCAGTCGTATTCTGAGAGAGGACGGCCAGGAGCCTTGCTCATGAGTATATACGGCACCCCAATATCATTGTCACGGGAGCCACTAGGAAAAAGTTAATACCACCAAAATCAAGGGAAAGGAAGACTAAGTATCAATTGATACCTATATGCGTAAACTACCGGAATAGGAACCGAGCTATTTGCCCTTAGATACTTTAATGTAGCGGCTTCGCTAATAAGCATCTTCGAAGCGGATTCATCACCAACGATTGCGTCGTGGCCACTACGCGGAGATCGAAAGACCCATTCGATCCCATCGTCGAAGCAGATGAAAATAGCCCAATTGAGGCTGCCAGCTTTTGGTTGCTTTGACGCATCGCAAGCGCATGGCCGCCCTCGAAGGGATTCTGCAAGGGATAGAAGTGCATTGAGATGGAATTTGGCGTAAAAGAAGATTCTCTCCGTCATACTGCCAGAGACATCTGTGCAGCAGGATGGATCATTGATGGTAGAGTTCATCCAGTGACCCTCAGCTTGGGGAGCCCATGGGAGAGCTCCGTCCTTCGTCTCTCGGCGCAGGTGGGAAGGAGGATACACACGTGATCAACACCCGAAAACCCAATTGATGTTTGACGTACCTGTGTACACAGGTAGACAAGATGTATCGCAAAGCATTTTAGCCACTCACTTCCGCGTGGCCTCGTGGGTAAAGATACGCTTTTATTACCCCGGACCTCGAAGACAGAGTTAGAATGCAAGTACGAAATCCAGGGGGTTTCGTCATTTCTGGACAATCAAGGAATGAATCTCACGTCCAGGTTGACCTTGACGACTGCACATGATGACAACTTGGCTCTGTCATTTGATCGCATTTACGTTCAGGGACGTGTATCGCGCGTAGAACGTTGCATGCAGCGTCCAAGTAGTTTACGAAGTAAACTGCTTCGTATGCACAAGCGCACCGTGGTTACGAGTCGAGAAGGTGGCAGAGCGATCATGCGTGCGGATGCAAAGCAGATCGGTTCCTGTTGCCAGCGTGGAGTACAAAGGTAGTGTAGGATCTGATTCAGCTGGAGACCTCAAAACTCTAATACAAAAGGGGGAAGACCTCGACTTGGTGGCGCCTCGCGCTGCAGTGGAGAATGTGTCCTGTCAGTGGGTCACTTCATCCAAAACCACACTGCTGTCGAGGATGTTGGTTGCGACACTCCCACAATCAGGGCAGCCCGCCACACTGCAGGTTCTTGACTCTTGAGTACTTCGTACTTGGTACGAATTACCTGGCTGGAGTGTAGTGCACACCGCAATTGGACACTACTTAGGTACAGTACTTTAGTCTAGTGGGTTTGCGCCCCTTAATTTACAGAGGGTTGCGGCTCTCTCATTGGTGAGCACTCCCAAAATACCACCACCCTCCCTCTTCCTCCTTGTCCAAGTTGAGTTCAAGTGCATAGTATCAAGTTGTGTCAGGCGAGACCGACTGGCTGAATTCCTCGCTCGGAGAATACCAATGGAACTAGTCAAGATGGTAGCTCTCCAAACCGGCGTCCTCAGTCTCTTGCCTACGTCTTTCTTTGCCGAGTACCATGTCTCTTTGGGAGTATCGTCTCGCCAAACAAGGGGAGACATTGGTTGATCTGACTCCAACAATACTCTCTGGAGGCTCGTCGATAGCAATGGAGTATGAAGCACGAAGAATATTGAGGACACGACCGCTTTGAGAGTACTTGGAGAGAGAGCTTTTGTCGTTGTCTGTTGCATGTTGAAATGTTGAACCAGGAGATATCAAATCTGAGATTAATTACAGGTATTCGGTACTACCCAGTCCTGGCCCTTCCGCACTCCTTCCAAATGTCTCCTTGGCTGCATTTCCCGATGGGAGGTACGAAGTAGAAGTTACCTCATTTTGTTTGTGCAGGGCCCAGTTTTGAAGCCGATGCCCTTTGCTGCTTTCTCCGCGAGACATAAAACTACTTTCCTGTATCAATAAAATATTAAACCATTTGATCTCTCTTGTGGCTCAGAATTTCTCTTGTCTTGAACCCTCCGGTGTCCAGTTCCAGTCTTGTTCAAGCCCCCCTATTCCTCATTCCCGATTCACTCGTTCACTCGTTCATAAGTTTATCTCGTTCTCTTCTCTCCTCTTCTTCTCTTTTCCTTTCCTTCTCCAAGTGCGAAGGAATACTGGCGTTTCGTGTCCTTCTCTGCACTTTCCCTTCCCGAAGCCAACAACCGCCTTGACTCCTTCCACTTTGTCATTGTGCGTGACTATCGACGACGCGCCCCTGCATAATACACTGCCAACAGTCGCGGACAGACCCGCCCACGTCCGAAGGCCAAAAGGACCAAAGGGAAACTAAATTCATTCCGCAAGAGGTGGGGAAAAAAGAAAAGAAGAAAGGAAGAGAAAAAGAAAATCACAAACGCGAAGATCCCGATTTGCAGCAGGGCAGCAAGCACCTACCAAACACTCTCGCGACGTGTTCCTCCGATACGACTCCTACACGTAATGTTCGGACTCTAACTCTCTTCTCTTGACCATTTTTCAAATTCTGCACGCATCACCCGTCGATTTCTCCTTGACAAACTTGCCGCAAATTATTCCATTTCCTCGGGACCCCTAGTGGAATTACGCTCGTTTCTCTCTTCCGGAGGTTTTCCTGGATAAAGTGATAAGGGAGCCACCGAACCGGCGGGACTGCTTCCTACTCTCTTTGCCAAGCACAAGGATCTCCTCCCGTCTGATTCATTCGACACATTCGCTTGACGACAGCACTCCTTCCTCTCCCGTCTACAACTACGCTTGATCCTATAGAGACAAGCGTCGCACTTCGACAATTCCGAACAGTTCCACGCACCGCTAGACAGATTTTAATTTTTTTTTTCTTTTCCTTCCTCCTTAACTGCCTTGCGAAAACGGCCAAATTACCTTAACGATGGCATCGTGGGTCAACCCCTGAATGGATGGATCTTGGAGGCGCTAAACCTCGGCGGTCTTGACGCTAATCTGCCCTTCGCTTCATAGATTCGGTGCCGCTTTGCGGTCATTCTGGCATACAATGACCAGTAATGACAGACGTGAGTAGCCATCTGCCCCTTTTTGCCTTTCAACGGTTTGTTTCTAATTAAAGAAACTCACTTATATCTGCGTATTAGACTCGACTTTTGACTCCCCATACCGCACTGGTCGCCATGTTCCTCTAGAGGGAAGGAATGGCATGCTGACCTCAGTGGCCACGGCCTCCGAATCCCGCGCCGATATCAACGCACCCTATCGCGACGATGGCACGAGAAGCTCCGATTTCAACGCCCCAATCTCTCCCTACACGCCGACCAATACCTCCTCTGGGCATTATTCACCTGGTCTACGATCGTCTAGCGCCCAACGCCTCAGCCAAAGCAATGATGGCTTTGAAGTCCAGGGGCAGGCTGCCGGAGATGTGCAGATGCAGTCATTCCAGGACGGACTCCCTCCTCCGCCGCCCGTAACTCATACGTGGAGACGAATCGACGCCTGGGCCGAAGACAACTATCCCGAACTCTTCGATCAGCTAGGAGAAGGTGCCACACAAAACGACCTCAACGAGCTCGAGCACATACTGGACTGCTCACTTCCTCAAGATGTCAGAGAGTCACTGATGGTCCATGATGGACAGGAACGCTTGGGCATGCCAACAGGTATCATATTCAGCTCAATGTTGCTAGACTGTGAAGAAATTGTTCAGGAATGGGAGAATTGGCGAAAGGTCACGTCGGAAATCCTGGACGATGCCGCCGCCTTGAGATCGCCCATTCCCGCGAAGCCTACAGTCAACGGCGCGAGCAGCAGCAGCAACGAGGCCTCCTCTTCCCGCTCCCACAGCTCTCCCAGGAACTCGGGATCATGGCGGCAGGATCTCATGGCTAGGCAGTCTTCGATTCCGCCCAATGCCATCCAGAAAACTTATGCCCACCCTGCCTGGATTCCCCTAGTTCGTGACTGGGGTGGCAACAATATCGCCGTGGACCTTGCTCCTGGCCCTGCCGGTAACTGGGGTCAAGTCATCCTCTTCGGTCGCGATTACGACACCAAGTACGTTGTGGCCCGCTCCTGGGCTGCTTTCCTCGCCGTCGTCGCAGACGATATGAGCAGTGGCAGGTGGTTCGTTGACGAGGACACCAACGAGTTGAAGCTGAAGGAGTTCAAGCAAGCCCGCGTAGAGCCATCGTACTTCGAGATTTTGCGGTGGAGGATGGATCAGAAACATGGTCGCCGCGCGGCGGCCGTAGCGGCAAAGCGGAAATCGATGGCACCGGGTCGTGGTAGTCCGACAGCCCCCGGATCGCCCACGAGCTCTCCCTACGCAAGCCCCACGGATCCGAACGCTGCCCAGCGTGGCAGGTCGATGCAGCGGCTCAGTAGCCACTCTCCCTTAACGAGCCCGAAGCCCGGCGCCTACGGGAAGTCTAGCCCCCTAGCGCGAGTCAACGAGGAGTCCCTAGCGCCCATCGTAACAACAGATCTAAAGCCGCCCAAGCTCGTTGAAGTCGACACACCCCGACCTAGTGAAGACGATCCGTCGACGAAAGCGACCGACCCGAAGAATGGTGATAGCGCCCAAGGCAAGGGCAAGGAAAACGAGGCTCCTGGAGCCAAACTCAACGGAAAGCTACCTGATGTCAACGACGGTGCGATGAGGACGATTGAGATTTGACAGCCGTCATAATGGGCAGCGACGCGAGTTCGTCATTTATTGCCTCTTTTTACAACAAACACCAAACGAACTTTTTTATGACGACTATGAGGACTACGGGTTTTCCTTCGAGGTGGCCGAGTGTGGTTGTTAACGGAAGGAGGACAAGTTCGAAGCATAAGACAATCGGTGTTCCAGGCGTCTTGAGCAGTTGCTTTCTGATTTCTCGCCATTCCACTTCTCTTTCTCCCTTTCGACCTGCTGGGGTTTCACAGCGCCGCGGTCCCCTTGTGTTCTAAACACCATACCATTATTGCATTCATGGACTAGGGGCTGGGAATATGTGGCACTTGAGGTGTGACAAAGCATCCATCGTCGATATACGAAGGGGAAGCAAAATCCCCGCCTTAATTTTCAGCATTCGACTCGAATTACTTTTCGATCGTCTTCTTTTTTTCCCATTCCTTTTTTTTTTTTCCCAATTTTCCTTTCATTCTTCTCCATCCGCTTTTCTCGCCCAGTTAGGAGAACCAAGGGACAGCTGGTCTCTAGATGGCAGACAAGTCGGCTAAGAACTAGGATGAAGGGCTGTCTGTAGTGGCAATGGCAACGGCCTTCCGTCTAGTCTTGCAGGAACTTAAGCTGACTGTGCCTGCTGTTACCGGCAGCCCACGGATCAGGAGCCTAGCTAAATCAGGGATTTTGTGTGTTGGGTGTAACGACCGCCTCCTGGCTTTATGTCCCTTGGTTTAAAGCGGGCATTGTACATTTTATATTTTACAGCGCCCCGTTTTGGGGATTACATTTACGGGGGGGAACCGCGATTAGAACATTGAACACCTGTGCATAATTAATGTACCATTAAAGAATTAAGCTGAATGGAAGGTTTTTAAAGAGCAGAGGCATCTAATATTTCTTCAATGCGAGTGCTCTTGACATATTACCTTCCAATGTTTTGTGTGCTAATCCAGGTCAACCGCCGTTAGCCGGAGGGTCCTACGTCATATCTCGCCCGTCTTCTTGAACCGATAGACACCAGCTAAATAAGTTAAATGGCCCAGAAGCTATATTTGCAGCATGTTATAGAATGAGGAGTGACAGCGAGCCAGATGCCGATAGGTCGGAAGGACGAAGTGCTGGAACTGGACTGAAGAGAGTTGGGGCCAAGTTCCGGAATTAAGAGTTTGGGAAGTTGGGGCTGAAATTCAAGATTCCAAATGGCCATTTCTTCTCAACAATGCGTAGTAAGTAAATAATAAAACTAAAGAGAGATTTTATGTAGCGGTGCATTGGAGCGTGCAGTGAGGCGAGAAATCAAGCCTGCAAAATGATGGTTCAATCATCGAACGAATGTGACTTGGACCTGTGGTGAGATGCAAGTGTTGCACGTGATACCAGAGACCTCCTTGATTGTTCAAGTCGCAATGTTGTGTCCAACAACTTGAGTGCGTCTAAGGTACATTGAAGCTTTTTTTAAAAACGCCAAGGAGGGGGAATAGACTAGTTCTCCGATTGCCGTATTGAGAAGGTGTTGATCGAGTCTTGGGCGGACCAGGTTAAAGACGGCGGGGGTGACCGAATTTACGAAAGGGTGACTGACATATATCGAGGCTGTGAGGCAAGGTCAAGAGGCGTGGAGACGACGACCATCATGGCAGCGAGATTTCCCATACGGAGCGGTGGATATCGACCTGGAGGGGGTCGGGGGTTGGTTACGAGGCCAACGGTGAGTCTTGGGCGGGAATATCGGCTGCCTCCCTTTTGATACCCATCATCCGTGTAGCATCAAGCTGTAGCTAACGGGGGAGAGGGGACGAACAGGAGTTTACCTGCTTCTCCTACGACGACAACCACGAGTTCAAACAAGACGCCTCTGGGCTAAGATGGTACTACCACAACCCGATGGATATCGGGGCCGACCTCTCGGCGGGCTTCGAGAGATTTGACAAGCATGATGATTCGCAACCAGAGCATCTTGTTGGCTTGCTGAGGTCGATTGTGGATTATGAGAAGAAGGAGGGGAGGAGGATTGATGCGCACCTTGTGACGTGGCGGGGGATGATGACCAAGGTTTGGATTCTCTCTTCTCTCGAGATATATTAGGGAGATGGGGATGTTATAAACTAACAAGAGGGGTGGACAGATACTGAGCTGTCCTTTTGAGTACCGTGACGGGTATGTTGTCTTCTTGATGCTTGGGGAATGCCAACTGACGAGGTGTGAGCAGATTCGAGATGAATGCCACTGTGTTTCAAGTACGAATCAAGATCCTATGCCAGCCTTTCCTCTTGACTATTTGTGAATAATACTGACGCTCTAATCATGATGAAGAATTGTCTGTGAGTCTCTTTTGCTATCGGGCCCATGTCTTGAGCACGTTTGGTATGCGAAGATGGTAGGTAGCGTCTCCTAATGAGTGGGCCAGTTTTATCGAAGAAAACCACGAATTCAAGATGGAGAGCAAGAGGAGACAGTCCCAGCAGAGACGGCGGGGAAGATTCACTCCCGAGCAGATGACATTTTGGGGTATAGTTATATATTCCATCTTCGATGGGCTGAGGATAAAACATGAAGCTCACCACTCGCCGGAAACACATAGGATACAAGTTCGAAACCCTCACCACCCTCCCCCGGCCCTGGGGCGAATCGACGCGCACGGAAATCGAATCCCGGCCCGAATCAACGGTGAGCAACAAAGCTCAATACTGCTCCATCGTAACCATGCATCTTGGCCGGACGAGACTCTGTCTAGCCGGTGAAATTGATGCCCGTAAGTTACCCCTTCTTTGTTTTCCACCTCTTCGTTCTTTTGACCCTTTCCTCGCCAGTCTGGGGCTCCAAACCAACCGACCCCTCCCACCCAACCGACTGGGTCGAGCTCAAAACCTCCGCCGACATCCAATCCGACCGCGACCTCTCCTTCTTCAACAACAAAGCCATGCGCTTCTGGATCCAGTCCTACCTCATCGGCGTGTCTCGCGTCGTCATCGGCTTCCGCAGCCACGACGGCAGGTTGGTGAGGGTGAAGGAGATGTATACGGCGGATTTGCCGGGCGTGAGTCCGAGGGATTGGGATGCGGATGTTTGTGTGGATTTTGCTGTGGAGTTTTTGGAGTGTGAGTGTTGCCCCCCTTTATATATATATATATATATATATATACACCTTTAGGGCCCGTAGCCTTTTTTTCGTCTCTAACACTTTTGCTAATTGCCGGCGGTCTCCTTCTAGGGCTGAAAGGTGTGATTAGGGGTGATGGTGTTTGGAGGATTAGGAGACAGGCCGGGGGTCATGATATTGAAGTGTTTAAAGTAGCCGAGCACGGTCATGGAGAGGTTCTTACAGAGGAGTTTATATCGTGGCGGAATAGTGACGCGATGAAGAATCCTGGCCAGCCGGGACAGCCGCAACAGCAGGCGCAGGAGCAGGCGCAGGAGCAGGCGCAGCAGCAGCCGTCATCATAGCTTTCTATGTACACACATCACCATTATCTAGGAGTCTGGGCAATGGGGAGCTATCTCATTCTTGGACTTGGGAAGAACCTTACGAATGGAAAGCGTCACAGGTTTTGGACAACACACAGAAAGTTTCCCGATGATGTTCTGTCTATTCGGGGCGGTAATTAACGGTATCTATCTACCAACACAATAAATCAGACATGCCAACCCTGGATTCCCTCCGATATCAAACCCAACTCAGTTCCCTCTCTTATGTCTCCTCCACTTGTTCAAGATGCTCCCTCTAAGAGTATCCATCCATATGAAAGAAAGGCCAAGTTCCAACATCCATATGTCTGAAACCTGAACCGAGATGAAAGAAGGAAAGAATAAACCGACAAAACGCCTGTTGTGCCCCGAGAACTCAAACAATGCAAACGCCGCGCAAAATACCAATGTCATGGGAAACAATCGTCAAAATCAAACATGCCATCATACATCACCAGCTATGCAGACTGGATCGAAAAAAAAATGAAAAGACTCTCCGCACTCACTCGAGCCTTAACGCCATGACACTCGTCAAGTCTGATATGTGTAATGTGTTTTGCTCTCCTCTTCTCCCTTCCGATGCGAATTATTAAGTGTTGATGTGTGCGTTGCGCCTTCGTATGCTCTATGACGCGCATGCGGGGAAAAAATGTGTGTATGCATATCGAAATCAATGCTTTTCGTCCTCGTACTCTTTTTCTTTTTGTGGTTCCGACCCTTCGTCGGGTGTGGAGGACATGAGCATCCATGATATCCTTCCGTTGAAGGGCCAAATGCAAAGGCGCTCGTCTATGCAATTCCATCGTACAGGATATTCTCACAATGCTTTTGTTTTGTATCGTTAGATGCTTCCCATAAAAGAAAGCCATCTGACGATGATGCGGAAAATGCGAAATTCGAACACAAAAAAAAAAAAGGAATACAGCCAACCCAAGGTAGGTTAACTGCTATCCTTTTTCTCATTCCATCTTCCTAATTTTCTTGTTGTTTAAACCGCAGGCCAGCGGAGACGCAGACCCTCAAGCCAACGTCCATAAAGAACATCAGAAAGCTGTCTGCAATGCTCCATGCCAGGTTGGGGCTCGTTGCCGGGATACTTGGCCTCAAGAGCGGCCTTCTCGTCCCTGTCGACGAAGTCGTGGGTGATCTCGGTCTGTCGACGGCGGTGGCTCCTCAGATGGGGATTGGCCTGGCTCAGGACCAGCTTCGTGGGGCTGTTGGGCGGGGCAGGCGTCGACGCGCTCTTAATGATAACGGTGCCCTGGGGTGTATTCGCCGAAGCGCCCTTCATGGCCGCCTGGCTGAGGAACGCGGCGTTGAGCTTGTTGTCCTGGGACACGGCGGTGACTAGGTTCTGGAGGAGGTGGTAAGCTCCCTCGGGGTCGACGGTGTCGAGGAGAGAAAATGCGTCGGAGAGCTTGGCCAAGGCCTCGCGCTTAGCCATGGCTGATGTCTGGGCGTGCAGCTCGGACAGAGTGGGGTCGACGGCCTTGGCGAAAAGGCGGCGACCAAGTAGTGCTTCCTTGCTAGAAGCCTCGACGGGGGCTGGGTGATGAGGGGGGTGGTTTTCATTGAAAACTGCACCGTCGGACGAATCGCCGACCTGGCCAGACGTCGAACCGTCAGAAGGTACTCGGCGGAAGAGCCGCATGGTCGAGCCAGAGTTGCCGAACGACATGTCAGGCTGCAGGGGGCGCTTAGCCACTGCGATCCGCGGCGAGGGGTTACCGGGGGTTCTCTGGGCCGACGAGGCGACACGTCTGACGGAACCGGTTTGGCTTTGCGCGTAGGCCGCCGACGGCTTGCGGCGAAGAGAGCCAGTGTTACCAGCCGAACTGTTGTATGACTCGTTGGCGGTCATGATGGATGGCTGGCGCCTCACCGTGGACCTACGAACAGTTCCCACTGGCGTAGAAGGTCGCAGGGGATCGTTCTCGAGCTCCAGCCTGCGCATAGCATCTTCGGCAGCGAAAATCGATGACGGCTTGCGAGAGCGGATGATGGTGGGGCGTTTGGGGGCCACGGACTTGACGGTATCGAAGGTCCACTCGTCGGCTTCATCCTTGGGCGAAATGTTCTGCAGGGTCTCCTGATAGAAGACGGGGTGCAACTTTCGGGTCTGGTTGGCGTCCCATGATTGCCTGCGAGCGATGAGCTCCTGGAGGGCTTCGACCTTGCCGGCGGATCGGATGAAGCGGTGGCGAAGGAGCTCCTTGGCGGTGGGTCGGCGCTCGGGGTCTTTGACGAGGCACTGAGCGATGAAGTCCTTGAACTCCTTGCTAAAGTTGCCCTGTAGTCGGGGAGGTTCGTTCTTGGGGATATGGAAAAGGACTTTCATGGGGTGAATGTGTGAAAGGGGAGGTTCGCCGTTGGCCATCTCCATGGCTGTGATGGCCAGAGACCAGATGTCGGCCTTGAAGCTGTAGCCGTCTTGCTGGATGACCTCGGGGGCCATCCAGAAGGGGGTTCCGACAAAAGTGTTGCGCTGAGACTTGATGTTGGTGAGCTGGGCGGCTACACCGAAGTCGGCCAGCTTGACCTTGCCCGTGTCGGAGAGCAAGACATTGGCAGCCTTGATGTCGCGGTGAATCTTGCCTTCTGCATGCAGGTAGTCGAGGCCGCGGAGGAGTTCTCGGCAGACGATGGCGATGTGGGATTCGGGGAAGTTTCCGGGTTTCAACTGCGCCATGCGGTGGTTAGTTAAGCTCGTCGCAAATACGCAACACCCAACTAGTGGGTGAAGAGAATGGACAGAGAATGTTACACATACCAGGTCTAGACAAGAACCGCCACCTAAATATTCCATGATGATCCAAAGCTTGTGACCGCGGAGGAAGCATCCCTTGTATTGCGTAACGAACGAGCTCGAGCAGGTGCTGAGCACGGAGATCTCGCCTTGGATTTCTTGGATGTCATCGTCGCTCGTTTCGAGGTCAATCTACGAAAGACGTGATGTCAGTCCCAGACTCAAGCCGAGTTGGCATCGAACGGCGATCGGTGTCTTGTATGGAACGGGAAGAAGCACTTACGTGTTTGATGGCGACGGTTTCGCCCGTGGCCTTGTCAATGCCCTTGTACACAACACCGAAGCTTCCACCTAAAGTAGCACGGGTGGTTAGCAACCGCGATGAAGTCTCAGGCTCGATCGAAGCCAACAAGCCGCGTTATCAGTACAGAACTGGGCGGGGGACTTACGGCCAAGCTCCTCCAGGACCTGGTAACTTTCGGCAACACCGTCGTCGGCCATGTTGCCTAATTGCGAAAGGATGTAATACTGCTTGCTTTCGGATGGTCTATTCGTCTGTTTGCGGGTTCGGTTATCGATGCGGGGAGAGTATGAAGTAATGTTGAAGTCGAGGTAAACAACAGAAAGAGAGGGACGGCTCGACGTAAACCAGGCGACGCGATTGTTGTTGAAACCGAGTCAGTTCTACAAGATGACAAGAAGGAAGGTGTGTAGTATGAAGGCAATGAAAGAGGTCTCGAAACAGGCTAACATCCACCGTTCAACGAGACTAGGACGCTGGGAGACGTCTGCAGATGCAAGTTGGGGAGGAGGAAGGAGATAGATTATCCCAAGAAGATGGAGGGTCCAACTTGTTAATATTTAGGGTGCCCAGGTTCCAGAACGGTTCCCATGGCGTGCAACTAACAGACTAATCCACTGATTGATCCATTTGCCTTTGCACCCATGGTGTGACGGAGGCGACGGGTATGCAAGAGGTATGTATAAAGTAGGGAAGAAGTGGGGGGGGTGTGTGTTTGATAGACTGAGAGTCTGAACGTGGATCTGGGCATCTACACTCGGCTTATACGGCGTACATTTTAATCAAACTAGGGTCAATTGGTCTCTTGGCTCCACAGGTTGTCCAGGACAGCCAAACTTCTGGGGCAGGTATCTAGGCTATTTAGGGTGCAGACCAGGGATTAGCTTCAAAGCGTCCAGGGGCTAAACCAGAGCAACTGTCCTAAGAAATAAGCCGTGGCGCTGGGGGGCCTGTCGCAAAGGTACCAAGACAGGGCAAAGTAGCAGATATTCTTTGTGATCTTTTGTACTAGTACACAAGGGAAGTGCGGATTGACGTGGTTGTCCGGGCTGTAGAGTTGCAGGGTCGCTGGTTGCTTTGTTTACTTTTATCCGCTTTGGGATAGCTTTTTCATGCTAATGCCCATTCTAGTACGACAAGTCAAAGCAGACAACACCTCTTTAGGACTGTCATCGGCGAGTCAGATCTGCGCCCAACCGGTTTCTGGGGCAGAGACATGAAAAACGAAGAACAAGACGACAAAAGTTAGTGTAATCTCGATGGCATTTCCGGGTCTGAACACCGGCGTCGAAAAAGTCAGTCTCTCAATTTTGCTTTTCAGGTCAGCTGAGGCCATCTGAGGCGGGTTGCCGACTGGAGACTTGCAGCGCACTAGCTTAAATGGAGACTAACGCAGGATCAAATGGCTGCGAATGGCGCTGTGAAGTATTACAGGCATGACGCTACTGGACCCTACTCGCCCACTGCACTGCGAATAGGGTTGTAGTTCCCTGGCAGTTGCCGAGTTGAACCGCAGATGTGGTATGATTGAATGCTCTAGCATCTGCAGTGCCGGGAGAGGGTAATTACCAGTGCAGCGCTTGCGTCCACATCGCGAGGACGATAAGGAACGATAAGTCTTGGCCTTGGATCCAAGACGAGCCGTGCAATGTGTTAGTACGATGGAATTTTTACGAAGTAAACCGGAGACAGCATCGTTCGAACGGTCCGGGCGGAATCGGACCAATGTATGGCGTGTGCTTTGGGATCGGAAGATTGAAGCTTCAACCACGGCGGCAGTGCTAGCGATAGCGACCCGAGGCGTCGGTTTGAAAGTGCAAACGAGAGAATTGTAATCATGCTGGGGGTTGCGGTGTCCGAAGTCCGAACTCAAGATTCCTGGCGACTGCACTTTGTACTTGGACTTGAGGCAGAGAGGGTGTGTGTGGGAAGAAGGCGTGGAGGCAGCTGAGAAGAGAGAGAATCGACGATTGCCCTGAGCAACAGCGCCGGAGTACGAAGGTACTTACTCTCTTCAAGTACGACAAAGTACAATGACGAACGAGTAATAAGAAGAAAGACTCCACTGGGTGGCTTCATCGCCGCGGGCAATACGCAATCAAGTAGACACTTCAAGCCTCAATCGGGAGGTTTCCACGCCTGACGTCTACTGAATCGGGTGAAATGTCTGTGAGGCAATTACTTACTTGGGCCATTCAATCATTCTGTTAACCTTGTTCAGCCTAGGCATCGCGAGTCTGTTCCCGCATCGCTGATCTTCTTCCGTTTCCCGTTGCGACGATGAATTGAGATGGACAAAATTTACAAAGTACTTCGTACTTCGTACCCCATCCAGTGAGCTTGTGCTGCAGGGACTGAGGTATAAAGGTACATTGGACGTATTGTAAGTTTACAAAATGGATGACGAAGGACTTGCAGTTTACGAGCATTTTCCTTGCGCGCTAAGCCACATGTGCATTTTGTGGCTTGCCAATCCTCAGTTGCCCCGTCGACGGCCCCTCTGTTTTGTTGCCCCCCTGGCCAGATGCCACCACCTGAATCTCCACCAGAAATCAACCAACCCGAGTCCAGGAACATTGACATGAATCCACACGACGACACACCGTCTCGACCTTCCCGTATTCGACCTTGTCGATATTATTTCCCTTGACGCCTGAGACTATTATACGTACTTCTCTATTCCTCGGCAAGTATTATACGAGGTTGTGGGAGAAAAGCTTCATACGATTGATCTTTCTCCCCTGGAAAGCAGAACCCTTGATTATATTGCACGACCCCGTGTTGTTTTTGGTGGTGTTGCTTGGGTGAAACTACCTTAACCTTGCCTCTTCTCCCACTTCCCCAGCTCACGAAGCTCGGGCAACCTTGACGGAAAACACCACAACACCACGACGAAAGACACCTAGCTGTACGAGGGATCGTGCAGCTTTCACCAAAGAAAAAAAAAAATCGAGCTCCGAGTCCGAGTTTTTAAGAAATCCCCGGCACCGCAGAACCACCGAGGCTGGCGAGAAGATAAGAAGAGAACGAAAAAAAACCGAAGGCTCCCAGGATCACTGAACCCGTTGCTGTCTCAGTGCTGGGCCAATTTTTGTTTCTCACGCCCGCGTGGGCGCTCGAGTTCCCGTCTTCATCCATTTCCATCCACAATTCGGCCTGTTCATCATGACATTAACACCGCCGCCTCTGCCAGCTCGGTTTCCGTGCTGGTGTAGAGCTGTATACTCGTGGGGAGGAGAGGTACGTTGGGTGTTGAGCTACCGAGGTCAAAGAGGTTCATGATACTGACTTCATAACCAACATGGCATATAGACAAAACGAGATCTCGGTTTCATCGAAGGCGACCTTATAGAATGTCTTAATGCTGGAGATGGTTCGTGGTGGACCGGAAGACTCTACCGGGACAGGAGGACTGTCGGCGTCTTCCCCTCCAACTTTGTCCAAGTCCTGCCCGATGACTTTCGACCCACGAGCCGCTCTGTAAGCCCGTTACCAGGAGGCAATACCCCGAGCCCGAAAGGCGCTCCTCAAAAGACGAAATCGTGGAGGAAACCTTTTGAGGCGTACGCGAAAGCGCCTCATTATACAACTGCGAAACAGCCTGAACAGTACCGCCCAGGGACGGTCCGATCAAGAGACACTTCCAACTCACCTCAGAAGCAGCCACAGCAACAACAGAGCAGGATAGGGAGGTCGGCATCGCCCATTCCCCCTTCTCAGTCGTCGTATGATCTGCGACGTGCGGCTTCGCCCGCGCCGCCTCCCCATTCACAACAGGCCTATCACTCTCATTCCCGGGGCCCTTCACCAGTTCCTCCACCCCAAGGTTATTCATCGAGAGCGGTCTCACCTATGCCTCCACCCGTCCGCGGATACCCAGACCGGGCCGTATCGCCAGCCCCATCCTTCAACCACCATCACCATCAACCGCACCACTCTCAAGATTTTGGAAGGGCAGACTCCCCGCCGCCTCCAGCGCCACCTCCACACCGTCATGTCGCCCGTCAAGGATCGAATGCCTCGTACAATCAAATGCCTCCCTCTATGCCCCGTCACGGCTCCAACGCATCCTTTGATAGCCGTCACCAGCCCTACCAGACCCCTGCGAGGCATGGATCCAACGCATCCTATGACCATCACCCTCACCCTGACCTCTCCCGTCATGGTTCTAACGCATCTTACGACCATCGCCAACCTGACCTCTCTCGCCACGGCTCCAACGTATCCTATGACCACCGCCAACCCGACATCTCTCGTCATGGCTCCAATGCTTCCTATGATCAGCCTCGTGTACCTCACCACCTAAACACCCAGCAACACCACGATGGCCGGCATCAATACCACACGCCTCGTGCAGCATCACCGTGTCCTCCGTCACCTGCTGGGAGCCATATGACACCTTCACCACTCCGTGAAGCTATGGACGGTGTCATTGAGCAGCTGGACGCGCTGGGGATGTCGAGAGGAACAGACACGTCAGAAGGGCCACCATTAGATCCATGGTCTCCCGAGTCATTCGACATGGTTTCCCGCCAGTCCCGAAAACGAGCTCAAAGCCGGCCTCATACGGCAATGGGATACCCGCACCCGGATGAAGGTTACGAGACCTGGAGTGGAGGATCTTCGCAAGATCCATCGTACCATAATGGATATGGCGAAAAGGACCATCCGCTTCCAGACTTGAACAACTACGTGGATCGGATGGAGAAGAGATTCCAGAAACTTCATGGTCAGAGCTCAAGCGTATCCGGGCCAGACGTCGACACGCCACCTATCCCGCCACCTAAGAACGTGCCTCGTGACCGCCCCAAGTCATCAATTGGGATGGCAGCACTAGACATGGACGGCCCAGGCCCCGTGATACCTGACCGGAAACTACGGCACCGAAAATCAGCCTACGAGGTCGGCCGGGAGGCGCTTGGCCGCACCTTCACCACTAAGACGAACTCGACGAGCGCCTCGTCGGGGAATCGCAGTACCGTCACAACAACGACCCAGAACAGTGACCGAAGTCTCATGAGCGGTTCATCAGCCGGCGCCATCAGTGCTACAAGTGCCGGCAGCTATGCTAGGAGGATGCAGCGTGCCCAAAGTGCCTTGGGAATGCGTGATCTCGACGACGATAGGCCCGAAACACCGTTTACCGGTGTCACGTATCATAGCAGCCATGCCTCCAACCAACCTCGTCCGCAGTCTCAGGTCGCTTTCCACGACGACGTTGGCGGACTTGGAGGACTTGTACAGCCAAAGCCACCGAAGAGGAGCATCTTCAAGAAGATTCTGGACTCCGCAAAGACTGGAGTTGCCAGTGGTCGTAGTCACATTGATGCGGTAAAATCATCACCGCTGAACAAGTCCACGCCATCAGGCCTCGCATCCAACGCAGCCGCCATGAGCAGCACCCCACACCTTGGCGGTAGCCGTCAAGGAGATGTCGCTAGAGAGATGGGGCTCGGCAACGCTGTGGACTGGGTTCAAGTTCGTCGGGACGTCAACCGTTCAAATTCGCTCAGCCGCCACGAGCGGGTTGAGCGACGCGAGCGAGCGCAAATGCTGGATTACCCGTCCATCAATGCCGCAGACGAACTCTACGACAGCATCAATGGCGATGAAGGGGCTGATGGCATGCCTGTGAATGAACCCATCAACTACCAAGCAATCAACCTCAGCCAGGTCGACAAGAACACACGGTTTGTCGCTAACCTGCCACCCACGACAACTGCGATCACCCTTGCCACGACCTATGTTTGTCGGCCGTATCGAAGCGATGTACAACGCCTCCGGGCCATTTTCACATATGTGTCAGAGAAGATCCTGTGGGAAGAAGACTTCGAAGGCGATGTCGACACAAGGCGTGTCGTTCAATCCGGCCGCGGCTGTGCCAAAGAAATTGCGGTCCTTGTTACGGAGATGTGTGCCGCAGTTGGCATTCAGAGTGAAGTCGTTCGGGGTTATCTTAAGACGCCTGGCGAAATCCCAGAGGTGTCGATTATGCCGAGGTCGAATCACTGGTGGAATGCTGTGGTTGTGGATGGGGAATGGAGGATACTCGACTGCTCGCTGGCTGCACCCTCAAACCCGCGACGGGCAGCGTACTCTTCGGTGGGCAGCTCCGTCGCAGATTCTTGGTGGTTCTTGACCCGACCCACGGAGATATGCTGGACTCACATACCCGAGCACCACAGCCAGCAACACATTGTTCCACCAGTGGCTCACGAGATCTTGCTCAACTTGCCCTGTGCCTGCCCCCCTTTCTTCCGGAATGGCCTTCAGATGTTCGACTACAACTCATCCCTTACCCGCATCGAGGATCTCGAAATGGTTCACATCAATTTCAACGTCCCCGCCGACGTTGAGGTGGCAGCCGAGGTGGAAGTCCGGGCCTTTACGCAAGACCCGGATGGCGACGTATTCGAGAGCGGCGAGGTTGTCAAGAAGCGAGCATTGGCTCAGGCCGAGTGGTTCAATGGCGTGAAGCGGTACGCCGTCAAGGCGCTTCTTCCCGGCGACGAAGGACAGGGTATCCTCAAGATCTATGCCGGCAAGAGGGGCCTGATGCATAGCATCAAGGACATTCCTCACCCGCTCGCCTTTGCCCTGCCCATCATCCACACGGGCGAGAACCCGCCTTACGAGTTCGTCACGCGACACCCGACGCCGCATGCTCAAAGGCATGACATCTACGTCGTCCAACCACAATGCCAGCGACTCGCTCTCAATAACACATTCGTCTTCGCCATCCGCCAGCACCCAAGCTCGACAGGTGCCTCGGTCCTCACGCCGTCGTCGAACCCCGGAAATGTTAGTCCTATTCCTTTCGCTCGACCGAGCTCGGCTTTGAGCATGACAGCATCGAGCGCCAGCGGTTCCAACCCCAGCACGGCCAGTTCGGGATACCCCGGCAACAAGAAACCGGCCAAGCTGGCTATCCAGACTCCCGGCGGGAAGATCCTTCGCCTCATGAGGAAGGATGATAAGAAAGGCGTCGGTGTCGGCAGTGCCCGCGCGGCTGGCGATGAGGAAGTCAGTGACGGTGGCACGTGGGAGACGATCATCAAGTGCTCGGAAAGGGGCACCTGGCGGGGCTTGGTCCTTGCGGACCGCACGGCGAGATGGTGTGTCTTTGCCGAGTGGGTTTGTGCCTAAGTTGAGTCTAGGCCTTTGTCTAGTTTTCGTCTTGTTTTTTTCTATTACTGTTTTTGCGTTCTCTCTTCTTGTTCATTTTCTTTTCTTTCTTCCGGGGCGCACTGCTCTCATTTGGATGGAGTACAGGGAAATATCTCTTTCTTTTTTCGTTTCTAAGCAACGGAGTTTCGAGTTTTCGCCAGCAAGAAAAAAGTACCGACCTTGCTTGGCTCAGCAGGTTTTTCTCCTTTCGGCATGGCATCTTGACGGAGTTTCTTTTCATGACTCGCCTTGTTTTGTTTCCGGAACTTTTGGGGGATGGGGACGAGGGAAACCACGGGAAATCATAGAGACACGATGATTTGGCGTGGGATATTGTTTAAAGTTTCGGGCAAAGAGGGGGGAGGTGGATCTGGGCATTCTTTAACCCCCCTTAGACGGGTTGATCAGGGTCGAAGATTTGGTTGTGTGTGTTGTTTTTTTGTTTGTTCTATTCGAGGATATTGGCATCCAGGTTCATTGGAGTATTTGGCCATGTACGATTACAAGTTGGTTTTTAGGACGTTTTTAGGCCCTGGGACCTTTTTAATGCTTATGCCTTTTGTGTTCTTCCGTTAATCCTATTTGTTGCTCTCCATCTCGGCCTAGACTCAACGTTGTCCGCGCCTTGAGATGTGGATTAGTGAATATTCCCCCGCTGAAAGCAAGAGCGAGGGCGTTGAAGCCTTTTGTCTCTCGAGGACCGTATTTGATTTTAGTCTCGTATAGATAGCCTTCGACGTTGTTACGGATCGGGTAGACGTAGATCAGGGTATCTGTTTCTTGACATCTATAAATTCTCCTAATACTGTAGTTCCTTAAATCAACATCCAAGCCTCCTTTTGTGACCCAACCTTCATACACCCTCCTCTCACCTCCATCATCTCACGTCCCCGGCCGGACCTCTTCAGCCAACCTTATTTATCTGCACCTGACGATCCTCACCGCCTGATATAATCCCCCAACTAGCATCCCACCTTACCCTCAACACCTTCCCCCCATTCCCATCAGGTTTCACCTTCGCATCCTTCATGCTCTCCCTCGGAATCGTATACACCACCTCGTCACACACCCTCCCGCCCCCTTCCTCCTTCGTACCCGCCCTCACGCTCCTCAAATCCCAAATCTTACACGTACTATCCCACGAGCCCGACACGAGACTATATTCATTCTCCGGGCTCGCGCTCACGCTCTCCACCCAGCCGAGGTGTCCCCTCAACGTCATGACGGACGTCGTGGCCGCCGACTGCCTAGGGTCGATGAGCGTGATGTGCCTGGCCGTGGTTCCTGCAGCTAGCAGCGGCGAGTTCGTCAGCGCGGCGAGGCAGCGGAGGGGATGCATCGTTGTGAGCGAAGACACGATCTTCTGCGTCGCAAGGTCGACGGTGCGCACGGAGCCGTCCATGGAGGAAGCATAGGCCACCGACGCGTCCGAAGGGTGAAATATCGCCGCCGTGACAGGCTTGTCCGACACCGTCGCCATGGCGAGCGGTCCGCGCTGCTGCAGCTTGACAGAACTCTTGACGCGCTTCGTGGAGCGCGAGGTCTGTTCGGGCGCTTCGTAGGCAGGAGCAGCCTTGCGCGAGGCCGTCCAGAGACCGACGCGGCCATCCGACGAGGCGGTGAGGAACTTGCCGCTGGCGTGGTGAACGGAAATGTCCCTAATCTGGTCGGCATGTGCGCAGAGTTCTAGCACGGGCTTGAGGGTTCCCCTTCCGGCGGTTTCGGCGTATTCCCAGACCAGAACCGTGCCCTCGATGCCGGCTGAGACGATCTTGGTAGGCGAGAGGAACTTGGCCGTGTTCACGCGCCTCCTGTGGCCTCCGTTCGCGGCGTCGGGTGAAACGGCGAGCATCTGGCCCGAGCGATCCCACACGCGCAGCAACTTGTCATAACTAGCGCTCAATAACCTCTCGCTCGCAACATCGAACTCCCCTTCACCATCCTGCTTGGCCAGGAGCGCCTTGACGGCCGGGGATGTGGAAGAGAGCACGTCGACGTCAGACACCCAGTCCTCGTGCAGGAAGCTATTTTCGTAAAAGGGCGGGAGGAGGCTAGGGACGTAGTCGAGCGTCACGGTGCCTTCGAGAGAGATTCCCGAGCGCTCGAGGTGCTCGGCGAGCGTGCCTTTGAGGAAGGATCCGTTTATGAGGAAGTCGAAGGGAATGGGGTGGGAGGTGGCGAGCATGTCCGAGTGGTTGAGGATCTGGGAGAGGCCATAGCGTTTAATGTCTGATAGAAGAGATCATAGAGTTAGGAAAAGCGCTTGGCGGAGTTGAGAGAGAGAGGCGGAGAGGATGTGCGAACGAACCTGAGGGAACGACTAGTTGCCTTTTTTCTTCGGGGAGCTCGATGTCTGTGTGTTTGGTCGTAAAAACGACCTTTACTTGGGCCGCAGCCATTGTGAGCCCCTTCTTATGATATGTCCAGAAAGAGTCGAGTGCAATTGATTAAAATTCTTTTTGGTGGGTTGGGAATTGGTAGTGATTTGGTCTGGTCGAGGAGAAAGTCGATTAGAAAAAAAAAATAAAGTTGCAAGAAAAAAAAATAATAATTTTTGGAAATTTTGCAAGGCTGGAAATGCCCCGCCATCAACACTAGTTCAGCCTTGCAGCGGTCGCAATGAGGGATCGACAATCCAACAACACCTTGTAATACGTAGATACATACAAAGGTAAATATGGATTCTTCTGCAGGGCCGGAAAGGAGTTCTCATCCATACTCTCCTCAACCAGCTCGGTCTTGCCCCAAGGCCCAAGACTGTAAACGAAAGGGTTGGACACTTCAACATATCTCACATCACGCGCACAAGTCTGTAATGAATCTCGCCTGTAGATTCTCTCCCTACCCAGACCCGTTCGTCTTCAACATGGAGGGTATTGTATGATATACACAACATAGTATCATCGCCATCTTAGCTCTCATACAGACATCCGGAAGAAGGCCGCTCGCCCCGAATGCGCATCCCCTCATAAATAAAAAAAGACCACACATCGTAGCGACAGACAGCTAGACCTACCAACACATCCTTCCCCTTTTCCCATTATATACCGAATGAAACACACATAAAAATAAGAAAGGAAAAAAAAAAAAACCAGCAAAAATCCTCTAGCTCTGCCACAAGAACTCGCTCAAATTCAACATCTTATCCGCCATCTCCCTCTTCGCCGCCGCCGTCACGCCCCTCTCAGGATCGTTCAACTGCTGGCTGTAACAGAGCTCCATCAAATCCTTGAGCTCATCATACGTAAACACTTCTCCGGCCGGCGCCGCCCCGTCCTCCTCCGCCGCCATCTTTTGCTGAATCTCCGAAACCTCCTTGGCCTTGGCGACAATGGCGTCGGGGCCCTTGTCGAAGAGGTCGAAGTAGTTGGAGGTTCGGGAGAGATTCACGCCGTCCTCGATGTTCTTGAGGTTTTGCTGGAGGACGAGGATGTTGAGCTGCATGCGGCCGCACCCGTTGGAGTTCATCGGCGATGCCATCCGCGCGTTGCCCACGAGGTATCTGTTGACGAGAAGGCCTAGGCCCGTGCGGATAAAAGATATTTCCTTCTCGCGGAGGTACCGTACGATAGTCTCGTCGGAAGCTACCAATTCGGAATTGAGGCTTAGAATCTCCGGATCGGGTTCCCGGACCTCCTGGTCGAGAACGTACGGCGCCGTCTCTGGGGAGAGGACGATGTGGAGAGAGTAGATAATCTTGCAGCGGGACTCCATGCGAAGCGTAAGGAGCGCTGCTTGCGCAAGGTCTTCGTACGATGACAGAATTCCGTCAAAAGTCCTGATGTCTTCGTCAGTATGCTGGGGTAGGAGAAGGAAAGCTTCAACAGAAAAAAAAAAAAAAAAAAAAAAAAAAAAAAAAAACGTACACTACGGTTTCTTGCGTCATAGGCAAGTGCACCGGGCCTTGATCGTCTGCAGCCTTGCCCGGATCATTCATCAGAGTCCACCTGCGATTAGACTGCCGTGGCAGGTTAGGCCTCGACGAGTCTGTATCCTGGTTCGTAATATGGCGCAGGCTCGCAATCTTGATGGACAGCCACTTCATGCTAGTATAGAGCAGGCACAAAGACGAAATAGTATCGCGATCTTGAATGATATCGCTCAGCTCGAAAGGGTTCTCGCTCGTCTGCTCCATGAGAAGCTGAATTTCCCGCTCCAACAACTCCGGGTCGGACTTCTCGCCGGCCCATATCTTCTTGACGATTTCGTTGATCGCGCTCTGTTCCAGCGCCATCTTCGCCGAGGCGCGCATGCTATGTTGCTCGCTGGGCTGCTCTTGCGCTTTCGTGACCAGGCTCTTATACCAGGCAAGGCAGCGCTCGTAGTACCGCATCATCTGCGTTATGATCAAGGTGCTCAGAGCCTGGTCGTGCGGTATCGTCGCGAGCATCTTGCAGAACGCCGTCACGACCGTGAAGAAAGCCGTCGTGCCCTTGAGCACCGGTCTCTTGGCAACCTTTCTCCAGTCTTGGTCTTGGAGGAAGGAATCCAGCTCGCCGAAGATTATCTCGCTCAGCTTGGCCAACGTCTCGTCGAGCTGCGGCTGGAAGACGTTAACCAGGAAGTTATCCAGGAACGACGTCAGCGTGCTCGTGGCTAAGTCGGAGCCTGGCGGTACGATGTTCTTCAGGCGCTGCAGGAAGACCAACGTCGGCGGCAAGAGGAGGCTCATGTTGAATACGCTGGGCTCCACAAGCGACTTGTACGTCTTGGCCGTCTGCCGATTTTCGTAGCTGGATTCGCTCTCCTTCCGGCTTCCACCACCGTCCATGAATGAGCGGATACCGATCAACGACGCTTTCTTATCTCCTCCCCGGCCCCCGCCGCTGGTCAAGCCTGGTACTGCGGATTGGATGATGTTCTCCAGTGCCTCGAACTCGGTCGTCATCTCCGTCGATTTCACATCGGCCTCGGAGAACTTGAACAAGTCCTTCTTCCCGTCCTTCTTTCCACCAATCGCCGCTCCTACATCAGCAGACGAGTTGAACTCGTAGACATCTGCGTCTGTTGTGACGTAGTTGTGCAGTAATGAGCGGATCTCGTTTTGGTAAAGGTTCCAGAGTTCCTTGAAACTACCTAGCAGGGCACTGTTATTGCCCGCGCCTTCACGTCGAATGAGTGCCTTGATAGATTCGTGGAAGACACGCTGGCCCTCGGCAATCGCTTCGAATTTGCCGTATAGTGTCCAGAGCAAATCGTAAATCACATCCGCTCTCATCTTTGTCTCGCGGCTGCCGTAGATGTGCAGCCCATGGCTGTTCGAGGAACCGCCGCGCAAGGAGCTGGGATGTCTCTGGTCTACCTCGTTTATCGTTTCGTTGACTACATTAAAGAGTTCAACGGGCAGCCTCTGCTTCAAAGTGTCCACGGCGTTCTGGAGGCGACCGAGTTTGTTCAGTGCCTCTACTAGTAAACCGATATAATAAAAAGTATCGGACTCGGGGTTTCTGGCAGGGTCTTCCGCCACAGTCTGCTCAAAGTCAATAGCTTCCATGAGCTGATGGAAGGGCGCGACCGTCACGGAATCGCCCCACGAGTCATGCGTAGTGCCTTGGTTCTTAGCCAGGCTCTGCCACCGCTCTTGACAGTAAGGGGACTTGAGGTACAGGTGCTCATGCAGCTCCTCCACAAGAATATCCATCAGCGCCGTCTCCTGATTCGCAAGATAGCTTCGCAGGTCACTCAGCGCCCCAATATCATCGAGCTCGGGTCTCCGAAGCTTGCGGAGCGCATTCTGCAGCACCTCGACCGCCGTCAGGAATCGCTTCTCGGAGATTCGAGCCTCCAACTGGTCCGGCACCTGGCGAAGCTCCTCGAGCTCATCAAAAAGCTGAATCAATTCGTCGTATTTTTGCGACGTCTTGGAAAGCTTCTGGAGCTCCGGATCGCTCTGGCAGAGGTTCGCCTTGGACGAGGCCAGAGACTCCTTGAGAGCGCGGACCCTCTTCTGCGACACCTGTATGCTTCCCTGGATCTTGTGGAACGTGCCGATGGAGCTGTTAAAACCTTGATGGTGCTCGTTCACGATATTCTTCAGCGACTCTTGGAGGAACTTGTGCGTCTTTTTGAAATTTCGATACTCGTGGGCGCGGCCGACGGAGCTGTTGTCGAGCAGCTGCAGCGCAAGCTGCACGGGTATACATTCGGCCTCGCAAAGGGCGGGCCACTCCTCCTTGATGACATCAACAACCTGGTTGATCTGTCGTTCCGCATTCGTCTCGCCCATCCTCGGTCGAGATGGCTGTCGAGATGGCTGTCGAGAGGCCTGAGCTTGAGCTTGAGCGTAGCCTCCGTTTCGCACTGGTGGTGGTGATCTCGTTCTTATCGCAGGCGGCGGCGGTGGGCCGTTGTTCGCATATCTGTTGTCGCTGCCGTAGGAATCTCCGTACGGATCGTAGTCGTCGTCGCGCCTGCTGCTGGCATAACCTCCTCCGCCGCCTCCCCCTCCGCTCCCACCACTACCTCCTCCTCCACCGTATCCGTTGGAACCGTAGCCGCCGTTACGGCCTGTTGTCATACCGTAACGCCTCGACATGTTGGTGGAACATGAATGCGATACTTCACTATTGTGCTACCGATGGGTCAATAGACTTGGGAGGTGCATGATCCTCCCTATGCAATTGGTGGGACAAGTGGTCTGTGGCTGCTTCTGAAATTACTGTTAGGTATCGTCGGGAGAAAAACAGAAACTAAAAATAGGTCAAAAAGGAGTGTTGTTTTCAGAATAGTGAGCCCAGTCAATCATCGCCGGTTCCTGGGCTACCCAAGTGAAACCTCGAGTTCTCTATCCCTGAAAGCGTCCGCTATTATTATTACTCGGTAGCTTGAGAGACGGCGGAAACACCTTGCTCCGTCCCAGTTCCCCAGATGAAGGTACAAAGGTACCTGGATTCGAGGAATCCACAGGCTTGTGACGGTCGAAGTCTAGTGGCTGCCAGTTGAAACCCACGTGACATAAAGCCTCTAACGATTTGGATCCGTTTCATTACGTGAGCAGCGAAGCTTGATCAGGATGGCCAAGGCGGCAGTAGCGACCGCCGTAGCCTTGAGCTTCGTCATGTCATCTCAACGACTAAGCGAAACACCGACCACCCCGATAACTTGATGATAGGCTCGGCCGAGCTCCCCAAGAATTGCACGTAAGATATCCTCGTACCCAAGCGACTGCGAAACCGAAGGCCGATATTCCGGATAACGTGCACCCAACCCGTCTCCTCCCGCCGTAGTACTACGAACCCAGCTCTACCCCCACCAACTCCGATCAACGAACCGGCGCTAGGCATCACCACAATGGAGGAAGAAAGACTCTGGAAATTCCGCAAGCCAGAATGGCTTAACAGCATCTGGGCCCGCAACGCCGGAGTCTACGCCGCAGGCGGCCTCGTAAGGCTCCCCTCCTCCAATTTTGTCCATCCTCCACATAAACGATTAGTTGCAGACAGTTAACCTCTCCAACCCAAATAGTTCTCCCTCGCCTTCTACGTCATGCTCGACTCAGCCGTCTGGTCCAAGTCGCCCAAAAACGGCGCCGAAGACGTCCACGTAGCCTTCGTCGACTGGCTCCCCTTCATCTTCTCCACCCTCGGCATGCTCATCATCAACAGCGTCGAGAAGCAGCGCCTCAGCTCCGACTGGAACAACGGCTTTGGTTCCTCGGGCGTAGCGTGGCAGGCCCGCGTTGTCCTCTTTATTGGCTTCGCTGCTCTCGCTGGCGGTATGGCTGGCGGCGTTACTGTCTTTGTTCTCAAGTTTGTTGTGAAGGATGTGAAGATGCCTGCCTTGGGCATGGGTATTGAAAATGTTGTTTCGAATGCGTTGGTCGGGCTGAGGTAGGGTTCTTCCATTCTTCTATTCCTCTCTTTCCCCCCTCTCCCGCTATTGCAGTCTCTGCGGGGATGAGAAGTTACTGACATTGTCCTTCTAAACTAGCTCCGCGGTGCTATGGGTAAGCCAGAACATGGAGGACGAGTACTCGTATAATCTCGCTCTATAAACGGGGCTGTAGTTCGGGTAGCTAGGATATATTAGGGATCGTGTGTGCGGGGCGATAGCTGTCACGGAGGCAATGGGTAGGTTTACAAAGGGGGAAACATGGGTCTGATGCACTGCGGGCGTCTTTTATTGTACCATACCGGACTACTTGTCCTCAAAGAAATTTTCTTTTTATCGTTTTTCTCTTATTCGACTCGATTCGGAGGTTAGGGAATAATGCATACGCTATATATCATTCCATGCTCTCATAATTTCGTTCACCGTCATTAAAACCATCACGCAAGATCCTTGCGCAAGACTCCAACTCGCGATCGGCCACCAGTCCTCTCCTCCTCAATCACGCGGATCCACTCGCTGTCACCGTCCATCTTGTGCTCTCCACAGGGGCAGACGAACTCGCCCGAGGGTCGGCAACGCCAAGGACCCGCCCAGAGGCAAATCTGCGTCTTGGACAGAGTCTCTCCGATCCACGCATCTCTGTCGGCCTTGGCCTGCGCGGGAGTCTGGCTCGGTGAGGCGGCGGCTCTGGAAGTGCGCTTGGGGCTACCGAGCCATGTCTCAAACAGACCAGGCTTCCGCTCACCTTTCGGCGGAGACGTACCGTTGGCTGGCTTTGTCGCACGGCCCGCACGACTGAGGGAAAGGGAGCGCGTAAGACTAAAGGTCGAGCGGGTGGCGTAACTCTCGAAGGAAGGGAACTCCTCGTAGCTCAAAATCTCCGATGCAGGGGTGCCGCTTCGTTCAATTTCCTGAGCTGAAGCCTGCTCGCTTTCGGCCGCATTATCTCCAGGGTCAGGAGGTGGGTTAGGTGATGATGTTGTAGATAAGAGGGCAGCCCTAGTGATGGCAGCTAGGGTGTCCCTGCTGAGCGAACGACTGTGTGCTAGATAGTTCGGCCTAGGAGTGGATTGGTGCGACACAACTGGCTCAGTAGACGTGGTTGTAGTGGGCTCTGGGGCGGTTATCAATGAGACGGTGGGCGGCACGGGATCTGGATCCGGAACCGGGTCCTCGCCCTGAGGAGTCGTCATGCTGCCACGGGGAAACAAGCTTCATTTGGGTCCTGTCCGTCCTTCTTTCGTTTCCGCTTCACGACCCAAGAATTGTTTCTGGGGCGCTAGGATAGCTAGACGTCAATGGGTGTACTGACTTGCCTTGGGCCTTGTTTATCTAGGGTGAATTGCTGTTGATACGAGTCAGATCGCTTCTTGACATGTGCGAGGACTTGTCTCGGTTTCCGGATTTGGTACGCGTAGTCGGCTAGGCATAACCAGACTAGAAGGATTGAATACTCGATGTTATGTGAGATGAAACTTGTCTTGTTTTGATGCTGGTTGTGATTGATTGTTGATAGAAGACTTGATGTCGAAACCTAGGTTATGGCCAGGCGCGACTGGAGGTCTCCGAGGACGTGGTGATGAGGAAACCAAGATGTTTGTTGTTTTGGGGAGTGTGATGAATAAAGGAATCCAAGAGATAGAAGGATCCAAGAAATATAGGAAGTTGGTGAAGTGGCACCTAGATTATCGCGGTGTGTCCATGTCTCGCTGTAAGTGAAACTGTAAGTGAAAGTACGAAAGGGTTTTGCACACTTATTCACACTCAATAGCCGGAGAACCAGGCTTTCCTCCTCCAGTAGCCTTTATTTCCACAGTGCTATTGTCCCTGGAAATCTGACTTGGTTCCCCATCTCGAGTGGCCTGGTGCAAATCCTTGTATAGTGATTGAGGAACATGGCTCAGAACCTCGTTTCTAAGCCTGTCTTTATCATAGGCCAGGCCCTCGAGCTTGATTGCCATCAGGATGTAGTTGACAACTGTAGAAGTTTGCAAAGGCGGATCTCGAAGTAACTTAGCAACGGCCTGGGGATCCAAGCTATTATCTTCACGCCAGACATAATACGCTCGGAGTTGGGCAGGGCGAGCATTAACTTTGGTCCTCTCAGCACAGTACTGCCTAACCCAGGTCTCAGCTGCGACAATGCGGTCATCGCTGGAAGAAACGCGCTTGGACACCCTGGGTTTCTTCGCAGGGCGTTTGTCCCTTACGCGGTCGCTGGGCGGAGACGTGCAGGCATTTGGGTTATTATCCACCGCAGCCTCGGGCGCTGCATCAGCCTCTCCAGTCTCCGTCAGGATTGTTGATTCCTCTCCCAGGGCAGCTGCGTCGCCGGCATCTGCGTCGGGTGCTCCATCAGTGTTGGCTACCGTTACATTGTAACTCAGCCGAATAGGCAGCTTAAGTTCGGCATGGAACGGGCGCGGGGGACATGGATCAAGGGACTCCCTCTCCTTTTCGAGAACATAGTAGAGCTGTAGGCCAACGTAGGCGTCTGATGCAGAGTCTAGATCACCGGTCTTAGTACAGGGGACCGGACAGGCGCTTCGTCAGAGAGTCATGGTGTGCTACTACTTACATATTATTTGGGCCATATTCAGTGGCTTCGACCATTTGCTAGATCGGACATCCTGGCCTTTGAATAGTGGCAGTCCAAGACATTCTTCCGTCTGCTTAGCTAGGGGGACAAGTTTCTTGTTTACCATGCGGGGCATCCCCAGACGGCTGTACTTGACGAGCCGATAGAGGTGACTGAGCTCAAAGAGGCCCTTGCAGTCTATTTTGAGGAATTTCGACAGACGTGTAGCGTCGTTGCTAATGGCTACACCGACCTTGGTAATCCCGGGATCTTCCATGAGTTTCTTGAAGGACGGCGCAACCATAGCGTCTCGGACAGGGAACTGAGAGATGTGGAAGAGGCCGATGCGGCTCGGGCTCGCAATTTGTATGAGCGACACATTCGATCGAGGGCCTTGATCAGCTGTAGCGTGCGCTTCCCACTCAATATCAAAGCCTATGACCTTCTCATCAAGGAAATACTGGCATGCTCTTTCAGTCGTGAACTTGGTCTTGCAATAGTGAACCTTGACTCTCTTCTCAATACCGTCCACGAGGGGGCCACGGTACATCGTATACGACCAAAACGACCCAGGGGTGCCCTCTTTCGCTGCCTTTGCATCCTTAAACAACTTTGTAGAAATGTTGTAATCTAGCGATGTGACGGGAGGCTCCACTTCGGCCCCCTCACTGCCAACCGTCTCAGTCTCGGAATCAAAGGAGCTCACGTCGTGTGTAGCTGGAATGTCAGAGGAGTTGAATGCAGGAGACGGCTCACGGGGCTCATCAGGTGCATCGGTAGCATCGGTGGCAGCGTTAGAAAACCTCCCCTCACCAGATATTTCCGTGCTGTAGAATCGGTAAGTGCTGAGGTCAGGGTAGACCACGACATCTTGCCTGGCGGTGAATCGAATCCCGCGGCTAGGATCCCATAGCTGGTTGGCCGGAGACGAGCTCATGTTGCAAAATTGGAGGTGATTCAATCCAAACTTCCAGTAAAGTGGCAAGGCAGATCTCCGAGAAACACCAAAAGATCGCATAGACCCTTTTGGCGCGAGGAGCACCATGGCTATGAAGTATCTTACACCAAGTTCCACGGCAGTTCGCCCATGTCGTCGAGGTTATTCGTTTAAAGGCTGAAAAGGAGCGTTTGATTGGTCATGATGAGAGAGTGCATGCAGAAAGAGGAGGAACTGTTCTAGGCAGCAGGAGCACCTGCAACATGTGAGCCTACCAGGGGTGAGTGACAATCGGTGTCCAAATTGACAAAATGACAGGTGCGAGCACTTTGAGTTATCAGTGGTTGATCAATTTCAATAATCGCAACGCAATATCGGATTAGGAGCTCGAAATTGCCCGTCAAACTTCACTGTTGGTAGTTCTGGTGCGGACTTGGTCCTAGACGAGCTCCAAGCTCCGAGCAGACATCGGCTTAGTCATCCAACCAAACTCTCCAGTTCCTCTCTCGACTCGCTGAATTCAATTCATCGTCGTAGCTGTGACTCTCTCAGAGCACCAACTCGACAGCGACAGGCTTGCCATTTCTTTCATCAAAGAGACATCGAGGTATACCGATCAGTTTCCCATTTCACCCATCGGTCTCGTCTCTAACAAGTCTCAGTAGCTGGCTCAGAGCCTCTGATTTTCACAATGGCTGCCCCACCAACCCAATTACTTCCTCTTGGTAAACTCAAAACACCCCACCAGTCTGTTCCCGAAATAAGGCAGGTCCTAACTGCCTACAGAACTCATCGATAAATGTGTTGGGTCCAAGATATGGGTCATCATGAAGGGAGACAAGGGTTCGCGTTTTCCTTTTTGGGCTTTTTAAAGCATCAGGATGAGTCTCTTGACTAACTACCTCCGGTTTGCAGAGTTCAGTGGAACGCTACTTGGATTCGATGACTATGTCAGTAAGTGACACTCCAGAACTCGCCCAGCATCTCTTTTGGTATATGAGTCTAATATGATCTTATAGACATGGTTCTCGAGGACGTGACGGAATTGTGAGATTCTCTCCTTTGCTCTACGACTACTCACTGTTCTCGGAACTGATTGTTGGGCTACAGTGATTACTCTGGCAACCACACCAAGCTCCCCAAGATCCTTCTGAACGGGAACAACATCTGCATGGTGAGTACTCTGAGTTTACTGCGATGAAAGTATCGGATTACTGACACGGCGACAGCTCATTCCTGGTGGAGAGGGACCAGTATCGTGAAAAGATTCTAGTCTTTGACGCTTTCATCTCCGAGCTTCGAGGTTTGAAATCACAACATCATGACGAGAGGAGAAGAGACGATGGCACGAGGACATGAATGACCCTTGACGTCGCTTGCTAATCTCCCACTCTAGAACATATTTTTGTTCCGATTTGATAAGAATCCTTGAGTTTGTATCTAGGTGGACTCACTGACACCTTCTGGAGTTGACGGGTTTGATGTCGGAAGAAGAATCGCATGCGGGTGCCCAAGAACAGTGTTCTCTATAAATGATGTCAATGAAGACCCAACTTCGCTTCTCAGTAGGCGAGGGATACTGCGCTATCCTGTTGTCGTAACATTGAAGAAGGATTCAGTCGGGCATAGACGCCGTTGTGTTTCATGTGTAAATGACTTGCGCAGTTTGGATCAAGAGTGCTCCCCAAATATGCATAGCCTTGCCCTTTATACCCGACTAATAGTCAAGCCCTCGGAGACTCTCACGGGCAGGTTCTAAGCGATTCATTTCCTTACCCCATCATAAGTTCGTCTGCGCTTTTACTAGATAATACTTAAATCCATCTCACTGATGGTTAAGAGGTGGTTCTGGAATACAAAGTACAAGGAGCTGTGGGGTTTACCCTCTTATGTAAGACTGAAAAATCAACCATGGAAGACAGCATTGGCCTGTGCTGAATCCATTGAGACCATCGCCGATAGTCAAGCCCGGGCCCGACCTCCAACGATATTAAAGCCTCGACCTCACCCCCCTCCGCCGGCCTACACCGCCGTCTCTTCACCTCCTCGAAATGAGTAAGAAGCGGAAGCTTTCGCGCTTCGGCGCTCCTCGGCCCACAAAACCGAACTCGACGAAGGCCCAGCAGAAACCCAAGGCCAAAGCCAACTCGAACAACCCGCAACAACCGCAGCAAAAAAAGCCGGCGCCACCTCCGCCTAAAGAACCACCAACGATCCCCTTCTCCCCGACCGACCGCATCCTCCTCGTCGGCGAAGGCGACCTCAGCTTCGCCGCCAGCCTCATAACACACCACAAATGCACGCGCGTAACGGCGACGGTGTGGGACAAGTCCCGCGCCGAGCTCCTCGAGAAATATCCCCACGCCGAAGCCCACATCGCCACGATTGAGGCGGCGGGTGCGAAGCTCCTCTACAACATTGATGCGACCAAGATGAGCGCGTTTGTGGAAAAGACGACCAGCGACCGTCAGGTCACGTCCGAGGACGTAGTGCTGCCACAAAAGAGGAAGAACAAGGCGGTCAAGAAACCTGCCATGGATCGCATCCTGTTCAACTTCCCCCACGTCGGCGGGAAGTCCACCGACGTGAACCGCCAGGTCCGGTATAACCAAGAACTCCTCGTCGGCTTCTTCCGCCGCGCCGAACCTAGCCTCGCACCGGGCGGCTCCATCGTCGTGACGCTGTTCGAGGGCGAGCCGTATACGCTGTGGAACATTAGGGATCTGGGCCGCCACTGCGGCTTACAGGTTGAGAGGAGCTTCCGGTTCCAGGCCGACGCGTATCCAGGATACGCGCACGCTCGCACGTTCGGCGTCGTGAGGAACAAGAAGGGAGAGACGGGTGGGGGGTGGAAGGGTGAGAATAGGTTGGCTAGGAGCTACGTCTTCGTGAGGAAAGGAGAGGTGGCCAGCGTGCCGGTCAAGCGGAAACGGGGCAGGGACGACGATGATTCGTCATCTGATTCCGATGAGGACGAAGACGCGACGCAACCGGGCATAGAGGGCGAGGACTCCGAGCTTGATGACTCTGAGATTGATTGATTCGAAACGTCCTCTGATCCCCCGTGTCTGTCGCCATTGCAGACGGACGCGCAGCACGAAAGGATTGGCTCTGCGAGACCGATGATGCAGCCCGTCGCACTGGAGAAGGCGACGAAACATTACATTCGATGCCATCCCAGCGTGCTTGACTACACTGTGGACTACTATACACTACAGTACGCTAGATTATACCCCCCTTTCTGGGATTGATTTTATGGAGGGAGGCGTCTGGGACAGGGAAAAGTGATTTTTCTTTTTTTTTCTTTTTTTTTTTTTTGGCGAGGTTCTCCGGTCGATGAGGTCTCGAGCTCTGGACTATCAATGTTAATTTACAACTGCATGCCCAGCGTGGTACAGCAATCAAATCAAGAGCTTCGTTGCCCCTCGTCGCACAAAATGTCGCAAGCCAGGAAACAGCCTTCGAGAACGCCTTGACCAGACGGCAGAACCAGCATAATGCCTTAGATGCGTGATCTATCTCCCCTCCCTCTTGTCTCTGCGGCCCGTCCTACCCCAACATCACATTGCCAACGGCAGCACCTCTCATCACACGAGGGGACATAAAAACTTTTATCCGAGAATGGCGACAACCAACAGGGGAGATTTTCATCTCCCCTCCTCTTGTGTAAGGGTGGGGTGCTAGGATCAATTCCTTTTCCCTTCCCATTCTCTTCACCCCCTATTTTTGTTTTCTTTCCCTAGGGCTCCCGATCGCCAACAGCTGTGCAATGCTTTCGGTGTTTAAGAAGTGGTGTGTTGGTGCTGTGGCAGGGGAGGCGGAATATCGGTTCCCAGATCCGAACGCCCCAGTGGCTCAGAACCAACCACAGGCCCAACAGACGATCGTAACACGAACAATATTCCGAATAACATTCCGAAAGAGAACGGGGGCGAAAAAATTGGCAGACACTAAATGGGCGTCCAAATGGAGTGCATGGTCAATCAGTCAGTATACTACGAGCGAGAGCGAGCGATGATGCCCTACGGATCAACACCCAGACAGCCCATGCCTTCCCACCTTTCCCTCAATCTCCTTGCTCTTTGCGAGTGCAATAGTTCCCGTTGTCACACGAGCAGGATATCAGGAGCACACCCTCTCTCCACCTTTTCCTTTTCGAATTGAGGGAGGGGTTCGCTTCGGAATATCCGTGATCTCGCCCGTCCTCTGAACACACCCTTCTGCATCTCGATCCTCCGGCCGTGCAGCCAAGTTATCGCCTATATTGGACAATCTCGCCACAGCATGGGGGAAGTATGCATCTTGACGCGTTAGATTGCCGACATATGGATGGGAGTCCGAGCTCGTATCTTGCTGTATATCCTCGACTACTTCCCGGGGTTAAGTTGAGGAGCGCAGAGCTTTCCAGGCGATGAACCGTCTCTCCGTATACCTATCAATGGTGTCGTCGCCCTCCGTTGCAAGCACCCAGCTCGTCCTCATGCTGTAGAACAGGACGATCTTGGATTGGTAATGTCGCGCTCCAGCTCGCGTTGCAGTCGCGGTAACTCGTAACATCCAACGCAGGAGCCCATGGAATTATCTACGTCCAAGCATTCCTGGTTGAGCCGAGTGCAGAGGTAGGGCGGGCCGGTAGTTACAGGACGGCCCGTGAATCAGTCTTCCAGCTTGAGCCACTTGAGCTTCTTCCCCGGTGGGAAGCGTCAACGGGGAAGTATCAACGAAAGCAGGCTTTTTTCCGACATTGGATTGTCGCTTCGTGTGGCCCAACGGGAGTGGCAGGCGTCCATGAAGGAGAGCATCTCCGGCTTCCTGAAAGGGGCGTGCTGTACAGCTGCCTCCGTATCACGCCCGACCCATCCTTCATCTTCTACTAGGAACCGATTCGTTTTCTTTACTCCATCTCGAAAAGGCATGCCGGCTCAAAAGGCCCCGTTGATCCTTGTCAGTTCCTCTCACAGTGAAAACCCCTGATGGATCTTACTCTCTGCTATAGCACA